TTTTGGTTGGGGGCCGCGCCGAAAAAGATGTGACTTTTTTTAACAACATTTCTCAAACAAAAACAAGTGTTGGGGGCCTAAATAAGGCATTTTTTCACCATTTAAGACAACAAAAAGGGGGGGGGTGAAAAAAGGCATTAAAAGGCGTGTATATAACGTAATGGGTTTAGACAAAGCATGATAAAAAGTCAAAATTTATACATGACATCTTTCTTTTGCGGTGAGAGTGTTTATCAACTTCATTGATATAAATGTTTAATAATTATAGAACGCTTCGATGATCTAAATGGATGCTAATGTAAAAACATAACTTTCAGATATTTATTGACAAATCAGTTTTGATCCATTACGTACATGTTTGACAATTATAAACTACATCTGATTGTAACGATTAATTTAATTGCCCGACAAAAATTCAAAAAATCAATTTTAAGCACAACTAAGGGTATACACCATCCCGAGTAGGGGCGGAAAACGTTGCATTGTTTTATCGATATTATTGGATAATCCCTACGCGTAAAACTTTACCTTTTTTTTGCAAAACAAATAAAAAGGTTTTTTGGAAATAGAAATTTTTTACACATTTATATCAATCGCAACTACTTTGGCCCCTTTTCCCTCAGTTCTTTCGGATAAGGACCCCGGAACACAAAAGTATAAAAAACAAAAGAAAAGGGGGTGCGGTATTTTTGGTCTAACCACCGGGTAAGAAAAAAAACATGTAAAACAAAAAGTAAATTTTTTTGCTAGGAGTTTTTTGACAAGTTCATTTTAAAAGTCCACCTAAAATAAGTGAATTCATAGGTGCAAAAGCAAACAATACATTCTTTATATGGTTGTAGAAAAAACCAACCTGTTGACATTTAGTCGGATTTGTTTAAAATTGAACATTGGTGGGCATATTTAAATTACAAATTGTTGTCAGACATATTTTCAAGCAAGAGAGTATCGGAACAGACATTAGAGGTCAAACATTCGTTTTACATCATCTCTGTTTCTGTTTACATCTGAAACCACGTGGTAGAACTACTTTCAAGCCGTATTGTTTCCGAGGTTATTATAGATGATAGCTGAGGCAGTTCCGAATGACATTCATATATTGTGTTTTAATTGTTGACACTTGTGACATTACGAGGCGGCGTTCTCTAAAAACACAATTACTTGACAGGTAAAAGTGGTCGTTTAATGAAAAGATTGATCTCAATTAGCTGACTGATTAGCGGTCGTTGGTCGCGTTGAGCAAAAGTCGCTTAATACATTTAAAATATACTGTAGAGAGAAAATGAACGGGGGGAATTGAAAGTGGCCGCATAAGACAAAAGTCGCTTAATACACGTGGTCGCATGGGCAAGTTAGACTATATAGAAGGTACGCGTATGTAATGAATATGTTACTGTAACAGTCTACTGAGATATTGAAAATTTGAAGTCTTAACCCAGCTCCACCATAATCCCACGTAAGGGTTGATACCAAATAAGCCATCGGCAAGGGTTGTAGCTTCATAGTAGACTCATAAGTTTGACTATCATAATTTTAAAGGAAATTCACTGATATTTCATTTTACATGACGTGACTTTTCCAGACCATTTACCATTTGTTGAAGGTCTGGACGTGCAAATTTCAGAACCTTCACTATCTGCGCCTTTTCCAGAGAAAAGAATTCTAATGGTAAAAAATGACTTTTAAATGAAAACCGTTTATACGTTTTAACTTAAATCAAGGTAAGAGTCGTACTAAAACAAAGACATTCAACTTTTATGTTTAAGGTATTTGGATCTCAGCGGAGTTCCTTTAATATGGTGGAAACACATAAATAAACAAAAAAGTAGCCGTGTTTATAAGTAATAAATTACTAATTTAATTTTCGTTTGATGGTTCTCTACATTTCTTCTATCTAAAATATGTAATTTAGTACTTAAAAGCGGCGTACTTAAATAATTTGACGGTATTTATTTAAATTGTTTTTGTACTGTTTGACATTTATAGATAACAAAATTACATGTATATATATAAAGACCTTATGATAACGCGATGATTTTCGCCTGAGAATGAAGGATGTTTCACTAGTAGTACACAAGAAGTACATGTACGTGTAAGTAAAAGTATTCACATGTAAGTTTCAAAGTACATTTTCATCAACACCCTGTGTATAAGTCGCGTTGACACACGGTCAAGTTATTTGTACCAGCTTTGTAAACCACTGTGCGAAAATGAATCACGAATGTTGCGGGGTTCATAAAAGGTGGTGTATATAGTCACCGGAAGTTACTTATGATCTGTCCCACCAACAAGCCTACTAGGTCATAGTTATAAGTAGACACTTACTATTATTGCAAAATGAGCTGTACGCTGGCCTGGTGAAACCATTTTCTAATTAAAAAGTCAATATATACATGTATATACCAACATTTCAATTCTTTGCAAAAAAAAAAAACCCCACAAAAAACAAACTTGTATTTCATAGAATATAGTGAAAAAAGTTAGATAGGCATTTTATTTTCTATAAATACTTTCGCCCATCGTACCAAGGCGGAGGATTATAAAGTTGGCGTCGTCCGTCCGTCTGTATGTACGTCAAATTTTGACTAGAACATAAAACAAAAACTGTTTCATTTATAATCTTAAATATGAAACAAAGAAAAAGTGCAGTGTCCTAGAAATGTAATTGATCTCAATGAGAACAAGTACAGAAACTCTTCTTGTGCATATTTTCAGAGTTATTGCCCTTTGGGTTTCCGAATGCATTTGTACTTAATTTTCACCCGGGACATAACTCAGAAAGTAATGGTAATATTAAAATGTAGATGGATATATTACATTAAAGAAAAGTTCTGTGCTTAAGAACCATTACTCTTTTGCATAACTGTAGGGACCATTTTACATATGCAACGATTTTGTCCGAGCATAACCTCAAAAAGAAATGGCAAAAACAACTTAAACTATACATATTCACAAATCACAAAGAGGAAATGTTAAGACATCTTCTTTGCGTTTATGTGGAGCTATTGCCCTTTGCTCTGAAACAATTAAGTTTCACTTCAACGACAAGACTATCAATTCAACGAATTTGCTTGTTCCACATGATAAATTTATCCTCGTATATTAATAAAAGTAGTCTGCTAATGTCACATCTGTTGATTTTTCAAAATTATGAATTAAAGACCATCTACATTTCTGCTTAGATAGGTGGTAGTTTGCAAATACTACTGCTTTCTATGAACAGGTTCGATCAAAATGACCTTTGAACTCTCTGATTTTTTACCTGTAAGGTTTCCATTTTTAATACTCCATCTCGTGAAAACTCGGCATTTCACGCAAATTTCCATGACTTTTTAGTTTTAAAAAAACCGTCGATATGACACGGAGCAGCAAACAAAAAAGCTTGCAGGTTTGTAACGTCGTTTTTCATTGGATAAATAAGAGTTCCTTTGCTTTATTAGAAATTCGTTATAAAGATTCCTGACATGTTATGTGGCTGGATGTAAACCGCAGTTTGCAATATAACCTTCGCCTAGCGATGTGGGTTATATATGCAAACAACCGTTTAAATAGGGCCACATAACCTGTCAGAATTCTTAATAACTAATATTGTAAACACACTCTTGAATGATACGGAAAGTGGCGAGATTTACCGAATGTTTTTTAACTATACATGTATGTAATGACGCATAGTTCATTCTATGAACTTAACATCACTCAATTTTGTTACTATAAATAACTTCAGAATATTTTGAGAAAAAACAACTTAAATAATTAGAAAAAAAGAAATGCTAAGGTTACGACAACTTGTAAAAGTATCGTTTCCTTGAATAAAGATATTATCTTTTCCCAAGAGAAAATCTGTTATAATTCAAGTGTTTTTTTCCAGATCGTTATCTTATTATGGTAATTTGTCCGAATAAACTAAGAAGCCATTATTTTCTTTTGTTTTATGAACTGTTACTGTACTGTTGACAATTAAACGAACGATCTTTTTTTCTTTTAAAACCGTTAGTTGTTAACTACGTCCAGAAAAAAAAAGCAATTGTGTTACTAAGATTGATTTCATCAAATGATTTAGTTTAACCTAATTTTAAAATACCTTGTATAATGGATGTGTTTAGTTTTGACTTTTGAACAGGGCATTGAAAGCTTAAAGGCCCATTAAGCCTAGAGGATGTTGTCTTTTTTTCTTTTATTTTCAATAGCTTTTATTTTTGGTGTCTTGTCATGCAATATACTTATTTGATCTTTTTGTTCCTTTACGGTTTTAGCAATTGGTTTAATTACAGTTAATTAGTATTTTGTATGGAAGTTAATGCAAAAAAACACTTTGTTTACAAGAAAAAATTGCTTCCTTACCACAAATTATGCCAAATTCAACGGTATTTCTTGAGATAATTAAATTTTCACATGTTCTAAACCCATATAAATACATTATAAACAAATTACGTTTGCTCTTTCAACAGAAAAAGAAATATTCTTACGTCTGAGACAGAAAACATACACTTTAATTTAAAATTAAAATTTTAAAAAAGAGCTACAAACAGTATTGCAAACAACATTTTTCATACACTACCATATAGTTCTTTTCTTTGAGGAAACAAATCATGAATTGGCCTTATATATACACTATATCAACGTCTCCATTAACCAATGAAAATTCACGTTACAACTGTGTAGAATTATAATAACAGTTATATCATTTACATTTTAAAAAAATTTCAAATTGTAAACAAATGAAACAAAACGAAGCAAAATGAATCTACACTCGCGTACTGTTTTAAATCAAGTTTATTCATGCGTTTTATAACCGGGTTATTAACAGCTCTATTATGATAATAAAGTGCGTAATAATAAGACGTTGTGCAAGTCTATAAAAATGCTGACATTTCCTTAAAGTTTCTTTTACAAAAGACGCATTATGAATATATTATTTCCCTCAGTGCCTTTTAAAATGGCGTAAGAATCAAATCATTATCATGCAAATAAATGTTATAATTTTGTCTTTCTTTTTTCAGTGAAACGGGGGTTCTGCTCCACGAGAAATTTAAACATAAGGAACGGAGATTACCGATTACGTTCCGGAAGTTCCGTGGTTGACTACACGTGCAAATCTGGATACCATCTATATGGTATAGACAGGGCAGTGTGCTTCGGCTCCAAGTGGTCCAGTGATCCACCAATTTGTATAGGTAAGGGACCACAAATATAATGAATATAAGCGGGTGGGTTGCTGTTACTTGAAATTAAACCTTTAACACCCCCGATGATCACAATATGCGCAGTTCTCATAACTTCGGGATTGTTCGGCATTCTCCGTAAATACTGTGTTAAACATACACTTTACTGAAAAGTCTCGAATAATTTACTGCTGTATGCACAACATTTTTTTTCAACATTGACCATTTTTTTCTCTCAGAATTAAATTTTGTCACGAAAAATTTAGATTTTAGAACTCTAAATGTTTAATTCCTTTGTCACTTTAATTTATAGAAAATTAAAAAAAAAAACAGAAAAAAAACCAAGAAACACCAACAAAAAACGATTTAACCGACGGACTTAAAACAGCTTATTCACGCTTTAATCAAAAAGCAACAAAAACAATTTGCTTGCAATAATTGCAATTTGAAAAACGAGGAAAAATGCATTTCCTTCATTGAGTGGATGATTTTTTTTTCTTTTTATCACCTAGTTAGTTTTTTTTATATTTTTATGTGTTGATTCTCTGAATACTTCCGTGTCAAGTTCCAAGTAATCCGTGTTTTTAAAGTCATGTGCAAGCACGATGAGTTATAACCCGGATGTAAGACAAAATAGGGTACTTCACTGTTGATAATTAAAATTTTGACTTAATGAGGTTTCTTCTTGATGTTTCTTGTGAGGTGCAAATGAAAGTTGTTAACTGAAGTAGAACGGAACATAAAAATTGTGGTGGTGCTCCGGATCACGACAACAGACCGCAACTAATTCACCAGAGTACAATTCAGCCACCGCACCGTTCCTAGCATTTTACCAGTACAAGGTGTTTACAATTTCGCCGGGAACTGCTAGTTACTTCTCAGGGGCGGATACAGAACATGGTTTCCTGGGGGGGGGGGGCTGACATATGGGTGGAAGATTTTTATAAATAACGCAACAGGCGAAAACTGTGCATGTTTAAAGATTTGACCAGCATCTTGTTCATGTGACAAAAAATTGTAATTTATGTGTTTTTAGCTCATTTTAAGAGTGGCAATGTACTTTGCTTATATATGTAATCGGGGTGGGTCTGGGAGGGGTGTCCCCTCCCATAGACTGAGAAAATTTTGAAATATGAGGTTGTAAATGGTGTAATTTCTTTGACTTTCTTGTGCTGTTTATGGTACCTTTTGGATTTAACATCACATTATATTTTGTATAGGTTAGTGTTTGCAAGGTCTTTCAAATAGAATTCCTCTGGTGTTTAGTATTACGCATTTACAAAAGAACCACACACTTAATTACCAATGTATGCACGACCGTTGATAAAAATAATTTCAAATACTTGATCAATTTTCTGATATGAATAATTAAAGTGGTATTAAAATATTGCCTTTCTATTGTACAAGAAACATAATTTCAAACAGTAATATTTTTTGTTTTCCAATCCATATATATTGTGATGTAAAAATGTTACATGCTTGTAAAAATTGATAAATAAAATATGTTAAAACAGTAATATTCAATAAGAATTTTTTCCATCAATGAATCCAGAGGTCATTATATTTTAAATTTTATTTAAAAAATATAACTGTCATGAAAAGTTATTAAAAGTAAATGACCAATCATTTCATCTTGATAAAAATCTTAGTAAAACTAGTTATTAAAGTACGATTCCTTTAATAATATCTTCATAAAACTCGCCATGTTTTTAATTTACAAATAATAATTTTCAATTTCTTAATTATAGCGGCAAAGAAAATGGAAAAAAACTAAGTAAAATATAGTGTACAATGTACATCTATTTGCCATTATCTGTGATATTAATTTCATTAGACCTTTGGAAAGTTATAAACCAATCAATTATGCAGTTTAAACATTGAAGTCATTCAAGCATGTTGATAGATAAAGATCTCTGCCAAGCCCCCAGGCAGGAGATTAACAACTGGATGACAGCAATAAATATTTTGATAAGGGAATACACTACAGCCAATAAAGTTTGAAACTTATAAAAATATATTCTAGCCCAGCTGGTAAACGTATCTTTGGGCCGAGCTGGGGGGACTGCAGCCCTGAAGCCCGGGCCTGAACCGCCACTGACTTCTGTACACGTCAGAACGGAAATACAGTGCGAAATTATGGTAGAAAGGATTTCATGATCAATTAAAATTGACCTGCATCGTCCGGGAATAGACCCGGGTAGCTTGATTCACAGTCCAAAGCTCTACAAGCTGAGCCAACCGGACGGTGCCACATACTGGTAATGGCGACGTTTTTTTTAAATATACTATCCAGATAACCGCTGTAAGCCACTTTGAATTCACCACAGCACAAATCGGCCACCTCATCGTTCCTTGGCAGGCTGTAAAGCAGTTTACCAGTAAAGGTGCCTCCACTAGTGCATAGGAACAGCGCGAATGACCATACAGGGGCTAAACGAAAGTGACCTGTACATAACAATGGTGGTATGATGGTAGTTTACTCTCCGGATCACGACAGTAAGGCTTAACCGCCATATGACCACATCTGCGGACGTTTCAAAATTCAAAATTGTGCCAGTTTATGTTAAATGTTGAATTCTGCTTAAGCCGGTGCTAGGGGGCGTGGAAGGTAGTTAGCTATTGACGGTACCGTCCATGAACAGGCTCAATCAAACCGAGCCTGCAACAATTTTAATTTTGCCGTGTTGGGCTTTCTGTAGGGATTCTTATTTTCACTATTTTAATTTTGAAATCAAAGAAATTCTTGATGAGAAATAGACTATTTTTAGCCTTAAACATCAACGCTATCCATGCCAAATTAGACCAGAAAACAATATGTTAGACATCTCTTTTCTTTCAGAAATTTTTATTCTGTTGTAACGCCAATTAAATTGTCCACTTAAAATAGTTTTGTCTGTTGGCGCGTAGTACATATTTATTCCGTCCTAGAAAATAAATACACACAAAACAACTTTTTTATGTAACAAAAACTACACAAAAGTAATAATTACACTTAAAATATGACGAATCAAACTAGGAATGAGTAAAACTGGGACAATTCAAAACATTAAAGAACCATTTTTTACGGGTTGGATCAGATTCCGTCCGGGTATGACATCATCAGTGTCATGCCAGACAATTTAGACCATAAGTAATACGTAAACTCTTGGCCATTTTCTGTCAATTTTATTTTTGTGTGACCACTATAAAATGATAAATAACAAATATAAAGAACCAACGTTTGTGCCTTCTTGAACAAACTGTACACTCAGAAAAAAGGTCTAGCAGAATCCAAATTTCATTAGAGCAGATAAAACTTGTAAACACTTATATACATTACTTAGTAAGCCAGATTAAGAATGGTTTGGGCACTTCAACATTCTATCACTGACCACATCTAATCCCTACCGGGGTGACATAATGTTAATAGAACTACTGAATACGAAGTAATGGGTTAAAACAATTAAAGAGTCTTAGATATACGACGGGAAAGCACGGTATTATATAATTATAAAAATGTAATAAGTGCGTAAAAGATGTTAGATAGGAAGGTCCTGACGACACAATTGCTACCCCACATACCTATGACTTACTCTAATCTTGGGGACAATTTTTACATTCGAATGTAATAAGCAAACCTTAAGCCGCCTTTCGATTGCCTCGTAAATGTTGAGCTCATTTTATGTAAAAATAAATAAAAAATGAAAGTATTTTTTATAACATGTTAAATGAGGAAAATCGTAACCTGACTAAGTCCGGATGCGCTTAAAACCTACCTTTGGTCTTGACGATACTGCAAAATAAAACGCAATAGAATTAAAATGACTCATTCATATTAAGGTATTACCTCCATCATGATACTCGTATAAGATCGTGACAGATCGGTATATTTCGACAGTTTCCGTGCTTTTATGCCAAATTATTTAAACGAAGAGACAAAACTACGTGATAATGATTTTATAAACTATATGACTATATAATTATGTATGTAGAAACACATACACGACACATGTATTAGTCATACATTATCTGTATTTTGGCAAGATAGACATTTCAGAGTTCAGGAATTAACAACCGTTATATTGTGGCTTACTTTGTACTATGTTTATGCAAGTATTATGTATTTTTGGTTTAAGTAACGCATCCTCACTGTAAAGGTCATTTTTTGTTTTGGCAACTTTCAAGCTTTACTGATAGATGAACACCACGATAGACTCAGGCCCTCTGTGATTATTTCAGCAGACGGACACCTGAGTGAACCAGGAGTTCGTAATCTATAGATATGCCTACATGGTATCAAAGTCCCGGTTATTCAGCCACAGCGGTATCAGTACACGGGCCTTCGATGGAAAGACTTACCTGAAGACTTTATTGAACTCTTTCCACTTTCTGCCGTTTTCTCAATACATACTACATACGGAAACTAACGAAGTTGACCGAACATATACGTGGTAATCATGTGTAGAAATGCACGGCTCAAATCATATTTATAACTCTTGACTTCAAAGGCGAAATGTCGATCTCTTTTTATCATTCTGTTTACATTATCTTATCTTAAATAAAAGAAAATGTCCAAAACTACTTGAAAAAAGTGAAAAAGCTCTCTAATTCTAAAGTGATACACTTAAATTATCAATAGTGTAGGTCAAAGTGTTAATTTCTGTGGTCTGATTCATATAAAAAAACAAAAGGAAACAATTATGAAAACATTGTGATGAGTAAGTTGGAATAATTGCATTCTTCCTAACCAAAGCCAACTCCTTTAGTTGACTTTTGTACAATACTGATGAAATAAGTCAAATGAAATTCTACGGAATCCTATTTTGGCCACCTTAAATTTCGTTAACAACCACACGCACGCTGAAAATCGACTAGGACGATTTTTCAGATTCGGTCAAATAATTTTAGTTGGGCCAAATTATAAATTGCAAGGATTGTAAGGCACAATACACGAGTTAATTTCTATAGGGCGGCCATACCACGTTGTACTCGTATATGACGCCATTTTTAAGGTGTCACGTGCAGCATTTTTGCCTCGATTTTGAGAAGAAAACAGCTGTTCATATATATTTATTGCATCATTTTTCAAGGAATATAGCGCACGTTTAGCATTGCATTCATCCCTACTGATATATGTTTTGATGTATTTGTCAGATGACCTAACATTCGGATAAATCGGAAGAGTTCGTGAGCGTTGTTCAAGCACACAACCTGTGCCCGTTAAACATGCTTCTCATTTGTCAATACTATTAGAAACAAGCTTGAATCCGGCCGAAATAATGCGGTCATTCTGGACAACGGATAATCTCAAAGATTCAGGGTGTCTATATTTCTGTCAATCAAGATTGATTTATATTCTGTATACATGTAGTTTATTGTCACGTTCACACGTTTGTATTTCCTCCTTTTTATGAGTCAGATTTCACGTATTCAAGTGAGTACTTTAAAAGCTCATCAAGAATTTTAAAAAAATTGTCATTTGTAATACTGCACTTTTGTAAAGTCGCTTTTCATTGGATAATCGTACGTGTAACGTTTATAATACTTCTCATTTGTAACATCGCTTTTCATTGGTTAATTGTTACTTTATATAGTTTATACACAAATGTTGTCAATTTATAAAAAAAAACCCACTTTTTTGCAGTATTAGTTATAAATTGGAAATGAATAATTCTGGTCGGTTATATGACCGTTTGTAAACGGTTGTTTGTAAAGTAGTCGTTTTTATAAATCTTTATAACTAATATATATTAATTGCATTTTTCATATATTCTATAATTTGTACTTGACGGCGCATAAACAAAATTTAAAATAAAAAGCTAAATCTGCTTTCTTGTTTTGTCTGAGTGGTGACGTCACTAATAACGCGTCACTAATATAATTATGAGTAAAACTGAGTATATCACAGACTAATTTGGGCAGTTATTTCATTTATATTACATTCAGAATTGAGAAGTATTATTTTTCAAAGATATGTAAAATAGTTATTTTACATTGAAAACAAGTGACGTCACGTGCTTATAGATAAAAATGTATTCCCATTGTACATACTTTTGTTATGATAGATCGATAAGGCAATAACGGCTTTCCATATAAACGGTTTGCTGGGTAAATGGTCTGTTATATAATGCAATTCTTTGTTTCAGCAAGCACTTGTCAAACCATCTCGCCGACAGACACTTTGAAGATCACCCAAGAGTTCGGTGGAGCCTTATTAAAATTCACATGCGCAGCAATGTATCAACTAAAAGGCGAAAAAACGCTTATATGTGACGGGTCTGACTGGAGTGCACCGACACCATTGTGTATCCGTAAGTTCACAATGTACATTTGAGTAAAAGATAAGAGGTGTTCTGACGATGATCACCATAAACGTTTGATAAAAATGTATGGCAACTTTTAGGATTATATCAGACATGCTTACCACTCATGAGAAGCATATTATAGGTCAAGATTTGTAAGGTCAAGGTCATTAAAGATAAAACATCGCATTCAGATTTGTTTTTGTCCGGAGCATATTTTCTACAGGCATTGATGGATTTTTAGATTTATTTGACATATCATCATCATTATGAGCCGTTGTGAAAGGCGCATAACCGCAATTTCTAGGTTAAAGGTCAAGGTCATACTATGAGGTTAAAGGGAAACGCTTGTCCGAAGCAACACATTAACATGCGTGGTGATACTTCAATATAAATTGGCACAAATTGTATACCACTGTTAGGCAGGGCTGCGCGCATAATTTAGTTCACACTTAGAAGTTACAGGTCAGAAAAATAGATACTAGTATGAAAGTCAAATTGTGTGTACCTGCAATTCAATAATTATAAAATGAGGGATGAAAATTATATGTATAATTATCATGGGTCTTTCCAGCATGATATAGGTCAGTATATGCAAGGTCAAGGCCGCTAATGATTTTGAAATGTCTAGATTTGTCCGGAGCATATTTTTACATAGCGTATCTTCTACATACAATAACATGAAATAATGTTTTTGTAATACTTGACACTATCATAAAACGAAGTGTTTCGCACATAAAGTAGGTCAAGTGTCAAGATTGCTGGCTGTAAGAAATCAGAGATAAATACTTGTTCAAAGTGAACCTCTCTTTCATAGAAGGGTTGCTGTATAACTTGTAAGGCATTGCGTCGAATAAAAAAATAGGTCCCGTTGGCCAAGTTCAAGGTCACGTGTATAGGTCCAAGGTCAGATAAGATAGTGAAATTATGAATATCATGAATTATTGGATTTTAATGTAAATGTTCTCTATTATGAGACTTAGCATCTGTGATTGTCGTACTTTGTGACAAAGTGGCACTTCTCCTACTCAACATGTTGTTTCTACAAATAAGAATGTATTAAGATACCGAAATAGATCAATATGGAAAGGGCATGTTTTTGATGTTTATCATGAACCATATATCATAAGAGTTTCTGTATTTCACCAATAGGAAGCTCATGTTTCAGATATTAAGTTTCTCACCAGTGAGATATATGTCATATTTATCCGAACACATTTACTTATTTAAAGAAACCAATAAGATAAAGTCAAAATTTTAAAGAATTCCTCCAGGAAAATACATGAAGGATAAAGTTCGATATTTTCTCGGTTTAAAATCATTTATGCCTCAAGATATGATTTCATTGACCTTGCCGATGTAGATTCCTTCGTGAATTTTGGCATTTTTTCAGCACTGACTTGAACTCGGTAGCATGTCATTAACTATCAATACAATGTCACATGTATCCGAAAAGAAGACTTATATGTTATTTTTAGCGTGGAGGCCACCAGTTTCGTGTGACTTTGAAGACCCGGAACTTTGCGGATGGTCACATCACGACAAAGACGATCAGGACTGGAGATGGAATACCGGAAAGACAAGTACGTCACGTACGGGGCCTAGCCATGACCACACACTTGGCGCTGGAGGAGACGGTAAGGTTACATGGTACTAAAATATCCATGAAACAAGCCCAGGGTAGTAGAATAATTGTGGGCTGAAAATTTTGCCTTAACAATAAATCTATGTATTTTAATATCTCTGGAGTTGATTCGTAGTATTTTAATGCTACATGTCCGACTATTTAAACCACTTATTAAATTAAAAGTTATAAGATAAGTAGAGTCTAAAACATGACCGTGATAGTGAAATAGAACAGAACAGTTATTGTACATTATTAAGTTTAAGTTATACAATATATAATGGTTTTAATTCCAATTTGATTTGTATTTCCACTGCCCTCATCGCCGGCGTTATACGAGACATTAATGGTGAACTCCGAGTTTGAAGTGGAATTATGTAATGAAAATACAGTTTGCCTTTGAATTTATACGTTTATATGCTTTGAAATGTATAAATATGAATTATTATATGAGGTTTATTACGTTGATTTTGATGTTTACTGATTAGTATTTTGTGTATACATGACACTTATCGCATATTTTATACCGTATGCCAATCGCATCTTCTCGGACCTTTCCGTCAAACCACGGATTATGAATATCAACCGAGATTCTCCGATTGATGTCTCGTTGATGCTGTCCAGATTTTGCTTAAAACTTAAATAATTCAACAAATGGCGTTCTTCCAACAGGAATGTTTTAAAACTATAAAATACTTTTGCTAACTTAGAAAACATAAGCAAAAGAAATAAAACAATATGTGTATACATACCTGAAAATAAAAATATGTACACGTTTTTTTTTTACTCTTGTAGGACATTACATGTATTTTGAGACCTCGAGTCCAACAAGGTTTCAACATAAAGCGATTTTACAATCTCCATTATATCCGGCCAACTATAGTAAACAGGCTTGTTTCACGTTCTGGTTTCACATTTTAGGGGAAAGTGGTAAGTTTTTAAAGTTTATATCGATCTTCGCAAGGCAGAAATGTTTACACGAAAGATGGAACTATTCTAATGATGAATAATGCATTCTTCTGATAACTTTGATGAAAATCTTTTGTAGTAAATTCAATCTCAATGCTGTAAAATAGTTGTAATATACGTGTTAATTAAGTTAACTAAGTTTAGCTCTACTACGATGAATGCATGAAACTTATTTGATCCGCATGCTTGTCTGCTTCATAGAACTGACAAGTACTGGTATCATATGTGGGTACATGGTCATGTCCCACCCACATGATCATGTCCCCAGGAAGGATCGACCGGACCCATGATCTCTGGGGTGAAAGGCAGACATTTAACCACTGAAGGCTAACTATCGCCTTGAAAATTCAAAACAATTTCTTTGTGTTAAGGGGAGTCAGCTTCATCGCTAGTACCTAATTACTTTGATCATTGTTCTTCATTAATATAAAAATACCATTGTTTGTTGTTCTAACATTGGTTAAAGCGAACCTATTTCATGAAAGCCGGGCATTGTTCTTCACTATTTCAGATATAGGAGATTACCAGGTGTTTGTTAAGCCAGAAAGTGTGCAAAACGTATCTTCACTTAACGCCTTGTTCCATGCAAATGAAGATCGGGGTGACGTGTGGTATGAAGAGTTGATCCGGGTGAAAAAACAGTCAGAACCTTTCCAGGTAAGCTACTCGCCCCGATACATATGTTTATCCGGTTGAAAGAACAATCAGAACCTTTCCAGGTAAGCTACTCGCCCCGATACATATGTTTATCCGGGTGAAAGAACAGTCAGAACCTTTCCAGGTAAGCTACTCACCCCGATACATATGTTTATCCGGGTGAAAGAACAGTCAGAACCTTTCCAGGTAAGCCACTCGCCCCGATACATATGTTTATCCAGCTGATAGAACAATTAGAACCTTTCCAGGTAAGCTACTCGACTCGCTACATTTGTTTATCCGGTTGAAAGAACAATCAGAACCTTTTCAAGTAAACCACTCGCCCCGATTCATATGTTTATCCAGCTGATAGAACAATCAAAACCTTTCCAGGTAAGCCACTCGCCCCGATACATATGTTTATCCAGCTGATAGAACAGTCAGGACCTTTCCAGGTAAACCACTCGCCCCGATACATTTGTTAATCCAGCTGATAGAACAGTCAGGACCTTTCCAGGTAAGCTACTCGCCCCGATACATATGTTTATCCGGTTGAAAGTACAATCAGAACATTTCCAGGTAAGCTACACGTCTCGCTACATTTGTTTATTCGATTAAAAGATTTGTTTATTCGATTAAAAGAACAATCAGAACATTTCCAGGTGAGCTACTCGCCCCGATACATATGTTTATCTGTCTGATAGAACAGTCAGAACCTTTCCAGGTAAGCTACTTGCCCCGATACATATGTTTATCCGGTTGAAAGAACAGTCAGAACCATTCCAGGTAAGCTACTCTCCTCGATACATATGTTTATCCAGGTAAGCGTCTCACCGTACTGTACATATATAAATAGGAACGGGTTAAAAATATAGTGTGTACAGTTTGACGAGCAATGTAAATTTTGAGGCAAAATATTGTCTGCAGTTTGGTTCGGTTGGTTTATACGCCAATGTTTGCAATTTACTAGCCGTTAGAGCTATTGTTCCAGCTAACCGGCTTTCCTGGATCACTGACCAGTTATTACCAACTTCTTAGCTAAGGACCTATATGCGGTGATAGAGTCAGACATTTAACTCATGTCTGAGATCAAATTGTAACGGAGAAATTTCCCCTCGCCCGAGGTTCGGACCAGCGACTCCCGGAGCTTTTCCTATGAAACCAAGCGGCAGGACCATCTTATCTACAGAAGTAGGGGAATGTGTCAAGTAACGTTTATATTCATATCTTATTAATAAATGAAAGAAAGCCACATAATTATTATGCTTATATAAACAAAACACACTTAATGTACACAAGAAATGAAATTGTTTCAGATATTAATGGTGGCAACACGTGGGACTGGGTATAGGAGCGATTTCGCCTTTGATGATGTCTCTCTGGCACGGTGTGCAGGTTGGTTTTATATCTAATTTACAAGTTTTTAAAGGTCACTGTAGCCGAACTGTTTGTGAATGTATAAGAAAGGCATCAGTCTTAAACTAATGTAAAATTTCAACAGAAATCCACTGTATTATAAATACTAACGTTAAAAGTAACTTGAAACACGTTGATTTTTTTTTTCGAGTTGTATAGAAATCAGAAATATGCGCCCTCAACTGAGTAAAATCTGTGACGTCACGTTCAAAATAAACGTCGTGAGTAAGAGCGTCGTGGCGTTATACGGTAATAAATTATCAAAAAAGCACTACTAGTACTAGTAGTTTAAGCGGTATTTTTGAAACTCTGTGAACTTTTCTATAAGCGTCTGTTTAACCATGATCATACAATGCTTCTTGCCAACATTGAGGGTTACGAACGGAAAATGACGAAATTTGCCGAATTTACACGATCAGTTAATTTTTTCTGTTTAACCACGTCAAACACGAATTTGTCATACAGCACTCCGTTTGGATATACATGCATGACCTGTTAATAATAATTGAGCCGCGCCATGACAAAACCAACATAATGGGTTTGCGACCAGCATGGATCCAGACCAGCCTGCGCATTCGCGCAGTTTGACCAGGATCCATGCTGATCGCTATCAGTTTCTCTACTTGTTATAGAGTATGTATTACCGGTATCATGTGGCCAATTCAAACCACTTTGCAAAGGCCATCAATGGAAGTTTATTTCCCTTTCTTTGTGTCATTTTTGGTATTGATTTGCAAGATATTCATGAAATTAAATAGCCTACTTAATTATCCCCCGCCGAAAATTTTCGGCGGAGGATATAGAAATAGTCTCCGTCCGTCCGTCCGTCCGACCTTCCGTCCGTCCGTCCGTCCTTCCGTCCGACATTTTTGTCCGTAGCAGATCTCTAAAAGTATTTAAGTTATCAACTTGAAACTTCATAGGTGGATAGACCTCATTGAGGAGGAGTGCAGTGCACAAGAATGATAACTCTACCTTGCATGATTTTTGAGTTACTGCCCTTTGTTATTTTTCAAAATTGATTTTTGTCCAGAGCATAACTCCAAAAGCCTATGAGATATTAACATGAAACTTCATAGGTGCATAGATCTCACTCAGGAGGTGTGCAGTGCTCATGAATGATAACTCTACCTTTTATAATGTTTGAGTTATTGCCCTTTGTTATTTTTTATACCTAATTTTTCACCAGAGTGGAGCATAACTCAAAAAGTGTTTGAGATATCAACATGAAATGTCATAGGTGGATAGATCTTATTGAGGAGGAATGTTATATGTGGATATACCTCATTGTGCAGTGCACAAGAATGATAACTCTACCTTGCATGATTTTTGAGTTATTGCCCTTTGTTATTTTTCAAAATTGATTTTTGTCCAGAGCATAACTCCAAAAGCCTATGAGATATTAACATGAAACTTCATAGGTGCATAGATCTCACTCAGGAGGTGTGCAGTGCACATAAATGATAACTCTACCTTTCATAATTTTTGAGTTATTGCCCTTTGTTATTTTTCATACCTAATTTTTCACCTGAGTGGAGCATAACTAAAAAAGTATTTGAGATATCAACATGAAATGTCATAGGTGGATAGATCTTATTGAGGAGGAATGTTGTGCGCAAGAATGATAACTCTTCCCTATACAATTTTTGAGTTATTGCCCTTTGTTTTTTTATGCTATTTTGTCCAGAGCTTATCTCAAAAAGTATTTGAGGTATCAACTTGAAAAAATTCAAAGGTCGATGGATCTCACCCTGCATTATTTTTGAGTTATTGCCCTTTGTTATTTTTCAAAATTAATTTTTGTCCGGAGCATAACTCAAAAAGCCTTTGAGATATCAAAATGAAACTTCATAGGTGCATAGATCTCACTCAGGAGGTGTGCACTGCACAAGAATGATATCTCTACCTTTTATAATTTTTGAGTTATTGCCCTTTGTTATTTTTCATACTTAATTTTTCAATTCAATTTTTTTCTCAAAAAGTATTTGAGGTATCAACTTGAAACTTCATAGGTTGGTAGATTTTACTGAGGAGGGATGCAGCACACAAGAATGATAACCTACCCTGCATTATTTTTCAGTTATTGCCCTTTGTTATTTTCATTCATCAGTATTCACATAGGTTTCAAATCTGTAATCACTATAGCCATCAGTTTTCATTACCAAAAGACCTCTTAAAATATAATTATTCTGTTCTACTACATATACATTCTTCCAATGAGCAAACACATTCGGCGGGGGATGGCCATGTTGACATGGCTCTTGTTCAACAAGGACGTGATGTTGTTTTTATATGTTTGATACGCACTTACCTCAAAATGAATTTACCACCTATAAGTGATCGCAGTTGTTCGTAGTCTCTCAGTGCTCCGTGAATAGTGGTGAGATAGTGTATCTTATTGTTTTAATTAAGGCTGTTGTAATAAGCACCGTTTTGTATTTCAGATGCAAGTTCGGAAATGAGCTCATCAACAACTATAAAACAATCAACGGTAAAATTAACAACAAGAATGACGCCACAACCCACAAAGAAAACAACAACACCCAAACCCATAACGAAAACAACAAGACCCAAACCGACAACGAAAACAACAACACCCAAACCTACAACAAAAACAACAACAACACCAACAACACATACGCATCCAACGACAACGAAACCTCCAACAACTGTTAAAACAACAGAAGCACCAATAATTCGGAAATCAACAACTAGAGTAACTACATCAAAGCCTACACAAGCACCATCAACTACACGAAAAGAGATTGTAACATCTGCACCACAACACACGAACACAACCACAAAGTCAAAACAAACACTTAAACCTATAATCAATCCAAATCTGCCTGTGTCTCGGCAAGCAAAACACATTCCTGGTGAGGATCGAGCCGGGCCGTCGGTCGTTGTATGGATAGTACTTGGAGCTGCAATACTTTTAGTTGTCATTGGCGTCGCCCTCGGTTACTATGTATATCAACGAAAGCAGAAACAGCAGCGCGAGAAACTGGGCCCACTTTGTTCCACTAACCCGCTGTATACGGCAGTAAACGGAGGCGATGACGCGACCGTAAATTTTGCCGCCGAAGAATGCGATTCGTATTAAACGTAAATAAATCGACGGCATAATACGAACTGTGAGTAACTCGTATAATTAAAAAAAACAAAGAGAGAGAGAGAGAGATATATACAATGCTTGAGATCAAAGAAATTCACATGTTCTTTTTGATACAATAAAAATAAAAATTAATTAGATATAATCATGACCTGAATGGTAATCAAAGCAAATTATTATTTCATTTGTTTATAGTCCATTGCTGTTTTTTTAAAGTGCATATATATCATTTGCAGCGTTTGACCATGATATTTTTTGAATGTTTTACTATAAAATGTATTTGATTGAAGCAAATTTTGCCACATGTATTTCATTGAGATTTATTTTGCAAAAATTATGTGATCCATGCAATTAAGCTCGACCATTCAAAGAATGAGAGCTATTGCACACACCACAGCGTCGACCACCGATGTCGGAGTCGTTGTCACACATTGGTAAAGTTTTTTTGCGTGCAAGTTGGTATCTCCAAAATTACTGAATGAAATGGGTTAAAACTTCACACACTTGTTCTCTGTGATTGTTTTAAAGGATGGACACAGGTCCCATAACTCTAAGTTACCGTTTTACAAAGATATTCCCCTTTTCAAGCACTGAGAATAGTTGAGAGCGCTGTCTTAACGGACAACTCTTGTTTATGAGGAACATTATGTTTTATTATGTACATGTATTTTAGCATGTAAAGTTTGGTGTACATTTATATAATTTTCATGAATATAAATGAACTTACTTTTTTATTAGAAGGACCTGAAAACGTGACATTTCATAGCAACCATATGTCCGCACGTTTATCACAATGGACTGACCGTCAATTGTTTGGACCCCGGCCAATCATTGTTGAAAATATAACAATTTTACAAATGCTAATATTTAAAGCACGTTCGTTTAGTATTGGCATTTCCAAAAATGCTAGGAATTGTCCTTCAGTCGGATATTCGAAAAAATATGTCGTTCGTGAAATAGACTCCTTCCAAAGGAATAGAGCTAATGTTTTTAGCTAAATGTAACCGACAAAAACATGGTGAATGGCGCCCCTTGTGAGGTCTTTTGTCGGCCATTTTGTTATCATGTGGTATTAAACTCTCCATTTTGATTGGCTTAGGCCTGTCGGTGTACGGATAGAAACGGTCAAATACAGGAACGGCGATGATTAGCTTTCAAAGTGCCTTTTAGTCAGTTTATTGGCCGCTGTTTTATTCGGTAGATTGTTTTCAGTGTAACTTGCAGTACTCTCTGTAAAAAAAATCAGGCGTATGCAGGTTATTTGTCCGCTGCTCTTTTTGATATCTTACGGATATGTTGGTTACCTTCAAGACGCCCTTATATCTAAAAAAAATCCATTTGTAATATATAATAGTTCATTATAAAAAAGAAACTATCTACATGTGTATATGTCATCTCGTGTTATTTACATTATTTTTCTTCTATTTTTTTCCATGTTATATAATGCTTCATTTTTATAGGGATATACCTTTCCATACAACTTTGTACCCACTTCCATTTCTATTTGCTTAGACATGTGAATGAAAAGGTATTTAAATGAAAATGTTGAATTAATCAGTTAATATCGGTTTTACAAGCATACTATAACATCGCCTAATTTTACTATATTATGTATATTATGTTTAGATTTTATGATAAAAATGTTAAGTATTAAGCTATGTTCACATACTTAAGATACATGTATATTGTTTGCAGTGAATACAACAACTTCCGTGCTTCTAGTCTAAACGGGCTTCATTGTATTTAAAATGACACTGTATAAGTTGAATTTTTGAATTTTTTTTTATTTGACATGATGATTTTGTCAATGAGATCTAATTTCACGGGGGAGGAACTGTTATACAGATGAAGGCGTTTTTCTGATAACTAGTCCGGAGTTCTTTTGATAACTGTCACGGAATTCCTGGAAAACTTAAAGTTTTCCGACGAAATTCGTAACGTTTTCAAGGAACTCCGTTCAGTAATCAGAAAAACTCCTGGAAAGTTAACAGGAGAACTCCATTCTCCGTGTAACAGTTACTCCTCCGTGAATTTGCATACTTCAAAAGACAATTGCAACACTTAATTAATGCACTCTTAACGCACAATATAATCTCATGAGGCGATCATATAATTAAATGTGTGACGTCATCATATAGTATTATACATGTATATAGCTACTTAATGACCAACTTGTTGACATTATTTCTGTTTTTATTTGGCGTTTAAAATTATTTCTCCCAATAGGATTGCAGTATTTCTGCGCCGCTCTTGACCAATTAAATTTTGTTAATGCTCACTAATGAACACTTACGTTTACTTGTTGTATGACGTCACTCTTGACGGACTTCCGGTAAGACTAAAGTCTTGTGCAATTTATTAAATTTTTTTGCTACTTTGTGAATAAATGTGCAATATGTGTAAACACTCGCCTGACAATTTTTGATATGTAATCGATCTTGTTATTGTTTTGCAAATCAATTATACATATATTTAATATATATTATCTTTTGATGAAATATTCATACAATGTATGTGGTCAATAAAGATATTGAACTAACTGTTATATTCTGAAATAGATATATCCCAAAGAGAAAAATGCACCAGTCAATTATAACCACGCCCAATCCGTCCACGGGGGAAAAGTGGAAATTAGCAGGGGAAATAAACTAAGTTTCTATCTTTTGGTTGTCCACGCACTGACACGGCTTCGGCGAAAATCAATCGCTAAGGATAATCCCAATGGAAGAGTGGGGACATCTTGCGGGAATTTTACAACCTGACTGCCTCTGCAAGGCGGAGCCTTTAATAAAAGGAGAATCAAAAAGTCAAAGTCCCCGCTATTTCACCGGGCCGTGGTTACAATTGATAAGTGCAAAAAAGTTGTAGATTTTCATTTGCTTGATTTAGCCTGTAGGGAATTGCCTACATGATATAAGTGCTGGTATAGATGTCTATATCTCAAACCATGGGTTGTAGGTTCAAGCCATACTGATATCACGATGATGTTTTGCTGATATGGCAATAGTTCCGGTAAGTTCATAGAAAAGAAAACGGGTGCGGTACAAATAAGCGTCAAGCTTCCACCATAGGCAATCGGACGTACAAATTTATGAATAGATTAAACCAGAAAGTCTGAAAATGTTATTCCAATTACCTTCCTTGACAATCTGTACCCAAACAAAATCAGTGTCGTATGCTCGACTACCTTTATGTGAAATAGTAAATATAAGACATCGCCATTTCTCCGGCAGCACTGGTTTCATGAAATTTATTATCAGTTAAAGGTACTAGAAACAATAGTCCTGACAGAATAGAAGATGGAACAGCATTGAATCATGATCAAAGAACGCGCGGAGACTATTTCCATAGTTCTTAACAACAACACATGTCTGCTGTTTTGAAAGAATTTGAAAAGCTTCTTCTTCGCCGAACCAGCTGTGGTACTAGTCACGTTGGATCAGCTACTTGTAATTACGCTAAGCTTTTTAACTGACAATAACTCATTATAAATTAGATTATAATTCATTCAAGCTTTATGTGAGAATAGTCGTTTAAAAAAGCGTTTAATTTACTTCAAACTTTGAAAAACGTTCGTAAATTGTTATTTAAATAAATTGACCAAACCCATCACAACAATTATAGAAGCAAAACATTTAAAGCATTGTTACCACAACATTCTTTCTTGATATATTCATGCCACTTTTTAAGCAAAGTATCCATTTTTCTTTTTGGCAAGTGATAAAATTGTCGATTACTAGCAGAGAAAAACAATAATGCAAAACATGTGTTCATACTCAAAAAACGTTTCTTGAACAGAAATTCAGCAAAACATTAATTTATTAATAGTAATTGAAAAAAAGTTGCTTCGACTTTATAGAAAAAAAATTCCAATTGCCTCCCTTTTTACATGAAATGTTAAATTCGGTAATATTTTTACAAAAAATGCTTTTTGAAACTTACAATATTGATAAATCGTCATTTGGCATCAGATGTATGATATATAACAATAATAAAATGAGTTACAGGATCGAAACAAAAACAGAAATCTATATAAAATTGCTATATTTATTATACAATTACAAAAATGTAATGTTTCATAAGTATACAAATCGGACATATTATAAATAATGTTGAATCAACATTGAATAAAAAATACAAATATCAGACAATGTTCAGTATTAAAGGACAACAGCCTTATAACTACAATTATCTACAAATATAAAAAGCTAAAATATGAAAATATATGCATACAAAAAATCTATTCCATAAAGTAAAAGTGTCGTCTGATAGCTTGATTGGTAGAATTATCGGAACGGAAACGAACCTTTTTTACGAAATGAATTTTTTTTAACACTTTCATTAAAAAAAGGCAAATTTGAAATTGCCCTAGCTATTGGCCTTTCGGCCTTCTGCAGCGACATGTTACATTTATTATACATACAAATATATTCTGACAAAACAAGGGAAGTCAAGTAAACATTTCTTTATTCTACAAAATGATAGAATCTCACCCCAACATATTTGGCACTGATTATTTAAAATATGTATACGTATTTGTTGTAGATCAGCGATTGACATTAGAACAAATAAGAAATATGGGACAAAAAACATGAAAAAAGTAAGCAATCTACATTGTGTGTATACACATGCATTGTAATATACACATTTTAGCTGATATATAACAAACTTTGCTATTCCCTTTCATGTCTTTCTCTACAAAGAGATGATCCTCTTAAAATGATACATTATCATATTTGCTGTTTATATGCGGTTTTTATAAACAAGGGAGATCACTCGTTTTTATATTATGAAATTTGTTCTTTTGTACAGTAAAAATAATTAAAAGATCTGAAGTAAACTTTTTCTTAATCTACAAAATGATCGAAATGTCACACCAATTAAGGCACAGAATAAGTATAGTGATACAGTTTTGCAAGAAATGTCAATAATGAAAAAATAATATTTAGAAATAAAATATCTACAATTATGTACATAAAGTTATATCTATTTTAATTAATGATCTAATCAGCTCAAAAGGATTTTAAATATAAGACAGTAGAGCAGTACAATACAATGCAGTACAGTACAGTACAATGCAGTACAGCACAGTGCAATGCAGTGCAGTACAATACAATGCTGCACAGTACAGTACAATACTTTGAAGTGCAGTACCGTGCAGTACAATACTAACACGGTGCAGGGCAGAACAGTGCATTTCAGTACAATATTATACGGTGCAGTGTTTCATAGTACAGTGCAGCACAATATAGTACAGTGCAGGACAGTCATTACAGTGCAGTACAATGTACTACAGTGAAGGACAGTAAAGTACAGTGGAGTGCTGCATAGTACATTACAGGACAGAACAGTGCAGTGCAATTTAGTAAAGTGCAGGGCAGGACAGTATTGCGCAATGCAGTACAATGGAGTGCAATACAATGAACAATAGTAAAGTGCAGTACAGTACACTTAAGTACAGTATAGTGTATTACGATTTAGTGCATTACGGAATAACGGGGCATTATTAAAAACATTAGCATTACTTTAATATTATTTTTTTTCAACTTGAAACTTTCAACTTTTGACTAAGTCAACTTTGAGTTACATCTTATGTCCTCGGATACTTTAATTTTACAAAGTATTTTTTTGTACATTTTGTTCAAAATAAAAAAACGTCTTATTACCCTGTATGCTTTATATACTTTTTCATTTTTTCCCCTTCCACTCGCCCTTAAAATCCAGCAAAAGAGGCTAGGCAAAAACCCCCTTTTGCTACCTACCGGTCTGATTGTTTAACCAAGCCAACCAGCTTTTTTTTGGCCTGGGGATATTTCAATTAAATAATAAAAGGGCCCCTGAAAATAATTTGCACACACGCCCCTCGTATTCATTTAATTAGACAAATATTTACTGTTTGCCTAGCTATGAGAATTTCTTTGCTGAATTTGCAAAAATATAACCTTGTAACCGTAAACTTTATATTTATTACTAATCAGACACATAAATTTAGCCAGCTAATTCTGTATAAAAAGAAAAAGAGATCATGAGAATATGTTACATCCGAAAAGACAAATATCACTACTGGTATTCCCTGACAATATTCACACAAAGAATACTTCAGCCCTCCATCAAAGTTCAATAAAATACTTCATGCCTACAATTGCATAATAGTATATATACGTAAAAATTATAGATTTCAGTCAGCATAACAGTTTTATTGTCGCGTTGTTTTTTGGGAAAGAATTTTAAATACAGTGTTTTTACGTATCACAGTTACCACACACACATCCAAACACGACTCACAGTTACCACGATACTCTTGTAGCGACTCACAAATACGTATAAGTTTTACCACATCTGACAGTTACCACATCACAGTTACACAAACTAATATAATTACGACAAACATTTACCACTCTAGGGAATTCAGGACTGACTGTTATCACACTAAAATAATCTCGACTCGCAGTTACCACACTTATATAACTCTACTCGCAGTTACCACAGCAAATAAATCATGACATCACGATTCACGACTCGGATTCGTATTCTTCGTCTTGATAAAAATGTCCATTGTTCAGGCTTTGAAGAGACGCAGAATTTGTTATAGGCTTCAGTTCATCTTCGTGCCGGCTTGTATAAAACTTTCGCCGACGAACACAAACATAGGCTATTACCCCAATTATAATCAAGCCGGAAACAATTCCAACACCAAGTCCAATCATTAAAGGTTTAAGTGTATCGTCTTCTGGGTGTTGTGATCTACCTTCGGAAACTGTGATAGAGTTGTCTTTATCCCCTTTAGGTTTGTCTGATGATTTGGTTGTTATCTCAATTGTTCGTTTTGTTGATTTAGCAGATTTACTCGTCTTGCCGCTGGTATCTGTATTGGTGACATCGGCTTTTGTTACTGTCACTCCTTTTGTGGTGGTTGTATTGTGTATGTAAGTGAATGGTCTCTTTGTTTCTCCTGTCTTCTCATTGGCCGTTTTTGTGTAAGATGAAGTTGAAGTTGAAGAGAGGCTAGAAGAAGAGCTTGAGCTAAATCTAGATGTGCTGCTGCTACTGCTACTAGAAAACGAAGAAGATGATGATGAACTAGAAGATGAGAATGAAGATGACGTCGTTGTTAAAGCGGTAGACTTTGACGTTGAAGAGAAATTTCCTGGTGCACTTGTTTTAGCAGAGAAAACAGTTGTTTTTTCATACGATGTGCTAGTTTGCTTAGAATCTGTAGGAGATGTACTTGATGTCTTTGAAGAACTTCTTGTAGTTGTCTTTTGCTCTTGTGTAGGTTGTGGCGTGGAAGATTTTTCTGACGTGGTCGAAGACGTGACGGTTGTTGAGGTAATCGGAGACTTTGTAGAAGAGCTTGTGCTAGCGGTTGAAGAACTTGTGGTAGATGAGGATACAATCGTCGGTGTCCCTGCAGTATCTAAGAAATATATGAAGATATTTACTGAAACTGATAATTCGCTGTTTGTTTTTTTAATTGTCAAGTTGAGCTGATTTGACTACATTTTTCAACAGATTGACTGTTATTTTGGTGACCGACTAAAAGTTATTATTGAAAAATGTTTAGGATACAATATAAATCTGCCAAAATTAAAGACTGTCACACTCTTTTTATAAATTGAACTTAAATTTAGATGGATCCTTACATACGGAGGTTATTTTAGTTCCTGCGAATTAAATAATGAAATTGAAAGGAATTATGGCCAAGTGGTATTATATTTTGACTTTCGCCTGTCCGCCCCCTTGCAAGGGCATAGTGACCCCTTAAGTATATTTTATCTATTTGTTTATTAGGGTCTATTTATTTAATCATATATATAATATGTGCAATACAAGACTGTTTACTTTCAAGATTGACAACTCACCAGCCCATAACGCAGAAGTATTATGTTTTATGCATTGAAGCTTTATCTCCCTTAAATACACACATTTTCTAAACAACAAAATTCTTGTATTTCACTTTACATGTAAAAACCATTACAAATATCCTTGTTTATCCTGTTACAACTTAAAAAGGATTGAAGTATGATAATATGCGGAAATGCTCCACAGTCTAAAGCATGGGTGTAAAATAATGGTATATGATTTATCAGATCATAGCACATTAAGATTAACAAGGAACTTTAGGCATGCACTAAGTCTATTTACCTTAAATACCGATATAAAGATCATTTCTTGAAGGAAACTTTTGGCATGTACTAAGTATATTTACCTTAACCGCGTACATAAAGACCATTTCTTGAATAAATTTGGATAAGGTTATTGTTAAGGTAGTCTTACTGTAATGCTTTCCCGCCAAATATTCATCGGTCAATATCGTAGCAAATCGGTTATTTCCGGAACGTTTTTTTTTTTCAAAATCTTGGCCATTAGATTATTTACAATCACTCATCCGTTATCGCTATGTACTAAATTCTGGTTACAAACGGTTAAAAATTATTGAATACCGAAGATTGTGAAGGAGAAAAAAAGTTCCGAAAATGACCGATTTATTACGATATTGGCGGATGGCGAAAGCATTGCAGTTAGACTACATTTAGACAATTTTTCAAAATTTCTCCCTTTTGTTGTTGTTATGATTGTAAGTTATATATTCGCTAAATAAATAAAAACCTGTGGTTTCTGGACCAGGCGTTTTAACTTTCTTCGTTGATTGAGTAGTTGCTTGTCTAGTTGGCGTCGTTTTCATTTCCGGTTGCATTGTTCTTGTCTTTCCCATCGTAGTTTCTGTGAAAGATGGTTTTGGTGTGCTTTGACTTGTTTGGCGTCCCATAGTTACTTTTGATGATGACTCCGCTTTAGTTGATGACGTAGCGGTTTGTGACGTGTCTGGTAACGATGACGTCTTCATAACAGTTGTTGATTCAGTGGTAGTTGTAACCGGCTTATTAGTATCTGATTTGCTTGTATTTACGACCGTTGCTTCCGGAGAGTTTGTTGTTGTTGTTTCTTTCTTTATTGTCGTTTCAGTTGGAGTTTTTGTTATTGTTGTCGTTTCAACTACAACACTCGTTGGCGAAGACGTTTCTGTTATCTTTGTTGTTACTGTTGTTGTTGTTGTTGTACCTGATGTTGAAGTAGAAGTTGTCGTTGTGGTTGAAGAAGATGAGCTGCTCGTAACTGGGGGAGAAGTTGTATTCTTTGTGCAGTTGTGGAGACGAACATCGTCTATGGCAATATCGCTAATGTAGCTGAGGGCTCGAGTTGCAACAATTGAAATCTGAAACAAAATAAAACTTGTGGTATAATTACTGACATCCGAACTCAAAACAGCGTTTTTATTTAGCAACAAAATCACTCTTGGGCATATTTTCCCCTTAAATACACCATTTGTATATGTACATGTATGTTATAATAAACAATTTGTAAAATGTGAAATCATCGATTAGTAAGTTGTTGATTTATACATGCAGTAAATCACACCATTTGTAAATAGTTGTTACACCATTTGTAAAGTATATGTATATATACATATAGAAGAAACTACATGTTGTTAATACACAATTGGTAAAATAGAAAAATACACCTTTTTGAGTATACATTTAGTTAAAACTTAAATACCCCATTTGTAACTAGTTAATACACCATTTGTGAAATAGATAAATACGCCATTTGTAAAAAAGATAATTACGCCATTTGTAAATAGTTAATACACCATTTGTAAATAAGATAAATACACCATTTGTAAAATAGATAAATATATCATTTGCATATACATATAGTAAAATACACCATTTGTAAAAATATAAATACACCATTTGTAAAATACATTAACACGCCATTTGTAAAACAGATAAATACACCATTTGCATATACGTATAGTAAAATACACTATTTTTAAATAGTTAATACACCATTTGAAAATAAGATAAATACACCGTTTGTAAACTAGATTAATACGCCATTTGTAAATTGGATAAATACGCTATTTGTAAATAAGATACATATAGTTAAATACACCATTTGTAAATAGTTAATACGACATTTGAAAAAAAGATAAATACACCATTTGTAAAATAGCAAAATACACCATTTGTAAAATAGCTAAATACACCATTTGCATATACATATGGTATACCGGTTGGCAAAAAGAGTCAATATTCATATGCATTATTAAGCAGAAGACTTTTTTAAAGTTATTATAGCTTTTTTATTTGTGGATCGATTTTTTTAGATTCTTATATCATTTGAAAGTTCTTTATATACATACTTTTCAAATATAAGTATATTTCCATGTTTTGGTTTTTAAAAGATAAAACTCGGCAGGCTAAACCACGAGCGCATACAATTTAAAAAGTTATATACTGTCGCTCCAGTCCCATTCTTTAACCGTGCCAATTGTTAAATTTTTTTAGCATCACATAAATAACATTTTATTATGTTTAAATTTTACCTGGAAAGGTTCGTCCTGCTTTTCTATAAAATATTGCCTCGATGCCATTGGTCGCCCTGATTTCCATCTATATAGAATAACGGCTTTACATCGTCGTCGTCTATATATTGGGACTGGTCTAAAACAAACACTTCTAGGGAGCCAACATCTTGAAAATAAAAGTGTTATTTATAATACAGAGCTGGTTAATATGTGAGGTAAACGGTTGTGCTTTATTTCTGACCTTGTTGTAGTAAAGATAGCTTCATTCCAAATACAAAATATAGCACTTAAAGCAACACTTTTTAACATAAGAAAATGAATTAAAATTCTTACATTTTAATTCACATCGATTTATTTTATATTATCTGAGCATATAAATTATATGAAATGATGACTTTAAACATTCTGCACACGAGTAAAACCACCGACAAGACATAAGCATATTGAAAGCTCACTCTCAGGAAAGTGGAAACCTACGGAGCTAGTGACCGTAACAACTCGGCCACGAAGTGCCCAGGGTATATTGTGCCTAAAAGGGTGGTAGAACATTTTATTCAACAATCCAACAAATTTACAAACAAAAAACATAAGTAAAACCTTAACACTTACGTCCTTTCTCATCCGGGCCCAGAATATGGTACCAGAAATCGAAACACATTGGCTGAGATCTTCTGTATACATGGGTGAAAGTAAATTAGCTTGATGACCTGTCATCGTAGGATTCGAGTCTCAAAGTACAGGTAATGCCCTAAAATAATTTAACAATATATATACTAGACGGGGGTTTGAAAGACACTGATCTAGGTTACATTACACACACAGTCATAAAACTAAGCTTGTTGGGACAAGTTTTTAAAAATATTTTCAGTTCATATGAGTTTTTTAACTGCCACTGTTACGTAAATGTTATGCACAAACAAAATACCTTTCTTGTTCTCCTAAAGTATGTGTGGTTAAGGACAGTATTTCCGGTTTGGGTTGCTCAAAATTCAGAATCCAGTCCTGTTTTTCGTCGTTCATCTTGTTTCCAACACCCCCCAAAGGTCATCCTCAAAAACACATTTCGTTAGTCATGGGGTGCTGTTAAATAATTTTAATATTAAATTTTATATCCAATTTTTGTGATAAAAAGAAACATAACATATCAAATTACTGTACTACTACTGTTGTACTACAAAATTTTAAATTGCGAAATGGTACAAGTAATCGAAAAGTTCCTTTTTCCAATGCAACTGCTGAAAGTGATTCGCGCCCCTGAAATGATATTACTTAATATGTGGTAACGTTTAAATGGGTTATGATGAAATTTGACTGTTAAATCATTTTCTCTAGACGTTTACATTACCCGGGGCATAATCTATATCATGCCCCAGGTCATTACATAATACAATATAGAAATAAAAGCAGACGAGAAATTTGTTCGAAAAAAGACACACATCATTGGTGAAAGCATATTCTAATTCAAACATCTCAGTTCATTACAAGCCTAAACATATATCTATGCAGAAATATAATCAACGCCAAAATAAAGTAGGAAAGGAAATGCTGAAAAATGTTTGGTAAAGTCCCGAAAAGGAATATTTAAGATTTTTTTTCTTATCTTACATGATTAAGATATCTTAAGCAAATTATTTTTTATGCTTGCATGCAATATGTGCACGAAAAGCTTACCAGCACATCTAGGTAGTGGAGCGCTCCAATCTTTTCCATTACAGTGCGCCTGTGTGTCGCCGATCAGTAAGTAATTATTAAGGCAGGAGAATTTTACGACAGCACCGTTTACAACTTCCATATCAAGATTTGTAACCTGACTAGGGTCAAGAGGAACGCAGCCTGTCTCTAAAATTATAAATTTATACATTTTCATCGATGATCATGAGCAAATCATAACAAGTTATATATTAGAAAAAGTACGTGTTTCGAGATATTTTAAGTGAAACTCTCATGTACTAAAATGATTGTTATAAACACATGAAATAATCTTTGTTTGCGAAATGCAATGTCAATATGGAACGAAATTCGAAAAAAAAATTGAATTAGGAGGTAATTTTTTGTTTGTTTTTTTGTTTGTTTTTTCTTTTAGGTTTAGAAAGACATGCTATATGAGATACAATTACAGAGTTGCTTTGAAAAGAAAGAAAAGAAGAACTTACTGGTACAAAGTGGCGGTTCATTGCTCCACGTCCCGTCCGACCGACATGTGGCAAACTTTGGACCATACCTATCAAATTTCTTTCGACATCTAAACTGTGCTTTGGTGCCTTGCCGTCTATATCTTATCCTTAAGCCCGGGAAATCACCTTCCGTAAACTTTGGACAGTTGGCCGCACGTCCCACTTAAATGAATGACGTAATATGATTAAGGTAAAAGAATTCATTATTAACTCGATAAAAATCGGCAAAGTTAGGCAATTTCTTCATGTTATATAGTGCAAAATAAATACAACTGAAATGACAAAGAGACAGCAACATATATCTGATACGGAAAAACACGATGTTTGCCGATCTGTTTGTCAAGGTTTAAATATGAACTACTGAGATAAATCAGCATCAGTCATTTGTAAGACATAATTAAGTGTTGAACATTTCAAAAGAAAGTCTTTGACAAGATAACAAATGGCCGTAACTAAGTACAGAGTTTAAACAAGTTCATACTATTTGGGTACAGTGTTGGACGTTTGCCGAAATCATGATCACAAAAAGAAAAATATCTTCTTTTTTGCCTAATCTTACATTTTTCATTCATTATCTTAAGCAGGCAGGGGCCTAAAAAATGAACAATTTTGTATTTCAGTGTGGCCAGAAACACAATTCCAAATATTTCAAAATCTGTTTCACAGGCAAATAACCAGTTGCACAGCATTATTTAATGATATATGACATACATTGAAGAAAATAATAGTTTGCATGCATTGCTCCTTAAAAAATGACTGACAGCAATTTATATTTACCCCCACCCAGCCAAAATCACACCTAAAATATACCAATATGGGCAATCTTCATGAAGGTGCAGCATACTCCAGAATCTGCCTGATTCTTTTAAAAATATCATTAACACGCAGTGCAAGCTTTGGCATTTTCAAAAATGACCAATAAAGTGTCTGTCATACGTTTAGATTTTTCACAAAATTTATCCGAAAATTCTTACTTGTTTGGCGCCAACTGTCAAAGCTTGATTTTTAACTTTTTCACCTCCATTCGGAGAGTCACAAATACATACAAAGCTACCAAAATGCTTAGTTTCGGGTAAAAACCCAAAAATACTGCTCATTTCCTACACACAAACAAGAAAGAATTACAATGACAGAGAAATATCAGAAGTTTCCAGTACCTTCAAAACACCATGTCTGAGTAATTAAAAAAATTGACTGGGGCCATCATTCGAATATGTCCCCAGCCCCCTTAATATATAAATCGATGTTAACAGATGAATTAGACATCTTAAGTGCATTTGGTTGGTTGAAAAGGGGGAGATTTTAGCACTTTATCATTCAAGCGCCTTGTCCGGTATTAAGTGTGGCGCTGCAGCACTTTTTCAGTCTTCCCAGCTTCAACAGACGTCATAGAAAAACTCGTGGATAGTTGTTCATGCGCATTACACTCCAAATTCTGAAGAATCTTTAGCAGTATTCGCTGAATCCGTTTTATTGCCATGGTAAATTCATGACACCGAGATACGGTCCTAACTCCTTTACCGCCATAAATAGTGTGTAACCCTTGGAAAGCAACCCTCTGTAGACCAACAGCTTCTCTGTAACACCAGTGTTGTCTTCCGAAAGTAATAATACACAGTTAATTTTATCACCCTAAAGCAACACTTTTTGGCAACAAACAAATCTTTGACTCCTAAAGGATGTTCTTCTTAATGAGGTTCTTCTAAAGCGTGTTCTCCTAAAGACGGTGTTCTCTTAAAGGGTGTTCTCATAAAGCGTATTCTCTTAAAAGGTGTCCTCCTAAATGATGTTCTCTTAAATGGTGTTTTTCTAAAGCGTGTGCTCTTAAAGGGTTTCTTTTAAAGAGTGTTCTCCTAAAACTGATATGTTTTGCTACGAAAATTTGCATTTGAAACATCACTTGAGAGTTTAGCCCACATCATGTCTTTTTAAACATAAAAGTTATACAGTGTCAAATAGTAACTTTTCGCTACCTTTCTTCCAACAGCACTTGCTTACTTTTTACCTGAGGTGACGTGCTTTGATAACAATACAATTGATTTAATCAGAATGTTGCAAAAATATTTTCAAACGGAGTCTAATTTGAACTTGAAAAAAGAGGCAAAAACACGTTTTTCGGCAATGTCAGTTTTAATGAAATATAGATATTGGTTATTTTAGTGGACACATGAAGTATTTGTAAAACACAGGTTTCTTTTGAGGATCATGTATATCAACGAAATCATTTTCAAACTACAAAATAAGTGTAAAAACGGCCTTGCAAAATGGTGGTTTCTGCGGTTATGGTTATAAAATAATGTTATACTTTACAACCTTTGCGGGATAATAAGTAGAAAAGCCTACTCGTACACACTTGAGACTAAAGCGTAATTGCGTATTTGTAAACCAAGTCAGAATAATATGATGTTGGTTGTAACAAGTCCAAATTATACATTTGAGGGTAGCGCCGGCTCGTCGTGTAAACAACTAATTAGGAAAAATACTTAAGCGGTGTTCCGGTAAAATTGTTCTAATTAGGAAGTTTTATATACTCGAGCACGCTTTCCATTCATGTATTTTGGTGTTTCTTTCTTATTTCCGTGGTAGACTGTTGAATACGCTGTTTTAGCGCAATGATTAATCTTAAATGTTTTCACAATTCTAATGCAAATTTGATAATCGTCCAAGCACATTTAAGTTCACAGATGCTCTGACCTTCACATGTCTCTTTGGCAGTTAATCACTGACATCAAATCTAATCTCTGCTGATTTAGAAGTCATGTGAGATAAGTCATATCAGTCTTTTGCAAAGAAATTAGTATTTAATTTATGCAGGAAAGCTGATTAGGCTAACCGACCGCCGAAATATAAACAAACGTGTTAAAATCGGCTTAAGGCCAGAAAAAACAAACAAACGTTGGCGCTCGCGAAAAAACGTGCCATATTATGGCATGTTATGAAATGACGCTTGAAGTTTTAAATTTAAAAAAAAACGGCATTTAATATTATTCTGCTTTTATTCATAACAGATCCAATAAATTCATTCTCTATGTTATTGCATTTATACCATAAGATATAAGATTTTGGATGGCATGTTGATTATGTCCAAACAGAACATGGTATATATGCTGCGTAAATAAGTATGCAAAATTTCCAATTAACCAAGTGCGCACTTTGTTTTGCAACTCAGTATATTAAGTATTAAAGGTTATTGTCAATAAACCCCTCGCCTAGGTTTTCGGGTAAGGTACATCTGCATATATTGAAATAGTTTGCCATTTTCAGATAAGTGAATTGGTCAATAATGGAAGGTATGATCATATAAATTGTGGTAAAGGCAAATAATTCAAAAATGTATAAACAACGTTTCAAAATACCGGCATGCAAAAAGTAATTCATATAAGCATATAAATACTGATTTTTCTATAAATTCTTTACTATTTTTTAAATTTATGCATCCTTTGATAAGGAGTCTATATTTTTTCTCAAACATTTTACGCCGCCTACACATTCCTTCTGTGGGAATATGCATGTAGTTAAAGTGCCCCGGAAAAAAAAGTTTGTTTTTGAAGATTCATGGAGCAGCGGAAAGCACTCAACGTTCTTTATTCACTGCACATTACATAGCGGGACTGCGTTTAAAAGAGGTAGTCCTAAGTGTTTCCTAAATCGACGTAATAGCAACTTTGGGACTCATTTAAGGACTGTTTCAATAAATATTTTAAAAGTTGGTCAAAGAGTTTAGACTAAGAATAAATTCGTCCGCTTGAGAAAAGTTTAGAAATACAATGACATTCAATTTAATTCATGATGTGTTAATGTCAATCTGCATTGAAAGAATCATAATATAGGATCTCAAAAGTCAGGACATTTTCTTTGAAATGCAAAATTGTCTCAGACTTGGATCTAGGTCTTTCTATGAAACGCAACACAGAAATGTTAAATTTTACGATTTCTAGAATCATAGAATAGTAAAGGTTCAAAACATGGTCGCATTATACAACATGGTGTCAATGATATAGAATTTTCAATTGCGTACGTTACTCGAATGACGACAGAAATATTACGTGGTTTGACGCCACAGCCTTTGGTTCCTTTACATATATTAAAGTTGTGATACAGAAACAACTCTTTTGTGACATGTTTTATAATTCCTTTAAAATAAACAAACTCCCTAAAAGCGTGCTATCTTTTTAAGGACAATATCTTTGTAAATAACCTTTAAAGTGTTGTTCACAACACTAATTAACTGTCAAAAGAAATAATTAAACATTATATGTAGCGCAAAAATATAGTATAAGATTTCAAAATTAAATGTTGTTTAAAACTGATTAACTCATAATTACATAAGATCGCATTTAAATTAAATTTCACGTTCTACACGTACTTACCCATATAAAATTACAGTGATCAAATTACTTGACTTACTTTTCTCACATCCACTTAAAAAGAATAGCTTCTACATTTATAAAAACAACAACAATTGATGCAAATTGTGTGAACTCGAAATTCAACAAAGATTATATTTATTGCATAACTACTGCATCTTGTTGGTAGCACAATTCGAGCAGAAAAGCTATGAAAATAAAACAATTTTACATGAAAAAGCATTGTCTTTAAAGTAAATCTACTTTAAAAATAAACTAACATTATTTCTCTCAAATTTTGCAATACTTTATAATTGTCACTTACCTCTTTCGTAGGCTTCGGTTGCAATATAATTTAATGTCAGCACATACAATATCGTAAAAATCTCCATCGCCGACAAAAGGTAAATAATGAAGACTTAAAAAACAAAAAACAAGCACAAAACAAACAGTTGATAATATAAATCAAAAAATCAACTTCTTGCACGTAAGCACTGTACTAAAATGTGAATAGTACGTTTCGTGGCTGCATTTTTGTCACCAAATCTACACCAAGTATCAACCGGAAGTTGCGCATTAACATAAGGGTTAATTATAATACTTTCCTATAAATAAACCAGGAGCGTTTATAACAACATAACTAAAGTGTCAAAGTCATTATAACAAATTTTAAGGGGCTTAATTATTTTTTGCAGATTATTTTCCCGTTAAATTGATTTCTCTTCCCTAAATAATGCAAAGCACATTATTCCACAGAATAAAAATGTTTGGCTTCAAATGTTGGGCTTCAAAAAAAACAACCTTTTTATAAAGGCAAAAAGTTTTAAAACATTTCAATAATAGTTTAAGAGCAAATAATATGTTAAAAACCTGAAGAAAGTAGCACTGAATTTGAAATTATTTGTCATAAAAGTAGCAAAAAATTAAAACAAACTAGTATTTTGATTTTCTACAAGTGTACTTATTGCAAACAAAGTAACCGAAGCAAAGAAATGGAATAGAAAATTGGAAAATGAGTAACTGGTTGGAAAATATAACAGGACACAAAAAGTTAAAGATTTTGAGAATAATAATTAAAACAATTCTAGGGGAATAATACACCTTTAACCTTTCCATTGTTGTATTTTTTATATATTTGAGCCGCGTCATGACAAAACCAACATAATGGGTTTGCGACCAGCATGGATCCAGACCAGCCTGCGCATCCGCGCAGTCTGATCAGGATCCATGCTGTTCGCTATCAGTTTCTCTACTTGTTATACAGTTCATAAGCGAACAGCATGGATCCTGATCAGACTGCGCAGATGCGCAGGCTGGTCTGGATCCATGCTGGTCGCAAACGCACTATGTTGGTTTTGTCATGGCGCGGCTCAGTTTTTAATAGTAAGAATATATTTTTTGTTGTTGTTGTTGATGATGATGATGATGTTGTTGTTGCTGTTGTTGTTTTTGTTGTAATGGTTCTCGTTGTTATAAGAGGTGGAAGACTTTATGTCGCTGTTCCATTGTCATTTAAAATTTACGATGTCTTCCTTATTGTCAGTGCTTCAGATGGAATGCTGGGTATTATATTTGGGTCAAGGTCAAGTGAGCGGCCATTTCAGATTTTGTTTTCTTATACTCGCTTTTTATATTATACGTGCATAAAATCATATTTTATCGTTACTAAACCTAATAAAGTAAAACATATTAAAGGTTAAAAAGAAAACGCGATATTGTTGATGCTCTCAGAATTCTCACTATGCATTGGGATGATTATACATGTATGTTAGCATGAACATATATTTTGAGATCAAGCCAAACAATATTGTAGCTTATTTATTTATTCCTTATATAACTCTTTTTTTTTGGTGATCCTTTACAGTTGCGAAAATATAGTCATATTTTGCCATATCGTTAAACCATCTTTTGTATTTTCACAATAAATAAAGTTAAAGTGATTATAAGTACATGTGTGTTGCGTGGTTTTTGTGACAAATTGTGATAAATTGTATCAATTTCTCTTAAACAGGTTGTAAAGCACGGATTCGCTCGACTTTTCTCCAGAAGAAACTCTCATTCATTTCTGAGGCTGCTTAGTGTACTATATGTCTATGTGCTATAAACTTTCTGTTACACAATCGAACTAAAATAAATTCTGTATAAATCCATCATTATTTTTTTCGAGATTTTTAAATTTCACAATCTTGCTAGTTTACGGAAGTTCGATGGTTTTATTAAAGTGTCCATAATACACAAAGGGACACGAGACCCGGAAATGATACAATACTTGGTAGTGTTCTTTTGAGATTTGAAATGGATTTTTTGCAGTCGGAAAAGGACAACGAGGCACTAATGATAAGATTCGATTCAATTTTGGGAGATCACATGGTTCTAATGCTGGAAAGTCATTGTTTACATTCTATATCTTGTGAAAATAAAATAAAGACTAGCTTGTTATAAGAGCATCTTGTATGTATCTTGTTTGATGAGTACAATACTGAATTTTATTGGACGTGTACAAAGCAATAACACAAATATATAGCGCCGATATCAGTACTGGTAACCCAGCTGTGTGTGAATCCAATAAAACAAGTATTATTCTCAACAATATAAAATGTGTCCTTCTAAAGAAGAAAACGCATTTAATTTTAGAAAACATCGACAGTGTTTAATATTACATTACGAGTAAAATACGAATATAGCCAATAGCATCCATTCATAGTTACTTCTAGTACAATATGGATTTGATATGGGTGCTTTTGGATTAAAAATTTGAAAACCAGACTTGATGAAGTACATAATAGATTTGATATGGACTTTCTTTTACTCGAAAAATGAAAGCGAGGCTATTTTTAATGAATGATATACATGTACATTCGAATACCGGAAGGTCATGTGATGCAAACGCTGCACGTTTATTGGTTAAATTTTATAAAATGTGAAATAAAACATTTTATATATCATGCTCTACAAAACGCACTTTAAAACGTCGTTGCATAATTACATGTAACTACAATTAGACTCTTCACTTTAAAAGATGAAATACTAAGAAGCACTTAAAGAACAATCATAAGCTATTTCTTAGTTACATAATTGTTACTATAAATGCAATAAGGCACACATCTAGCACTTATTCTAGGGAAAGTAATATAAATAAACTTCTGTAGGAGCACAGCTAACTACGGTGTCTTTATCGCGCCATTTCCAATGTCGTCTATCGTGGATAGAAGAGAACGCTCGACAATACAAAGTATCATCGCAACAATGCAAACAAACCCAGTTGACAGAATGTAAATACTGAACAAAATTAATTTGGAAATCCAGAATTTAGCGTAAAATGTGTTTAATATCTTGAGGCGAAAATAGAATGGGCCTTAACATAAACACAACATATTTACCATTTAAGATATATCACCAGTGAATAATTCGTATGAACTCGGCCAATTTCGTCTAGAATAAGCAGAGACAGCAATTTTCTCATAATATTATTAAAATGGAGTAAAATACCTTGCAAATATGTGCATGTACTCTATTATATCTCATGCGCTTTTGCAAACCCATAAACCCATATGTTATGCAGCGATACCCCACAAGGCATCTGTTTTGCGTTGGAGGGAAATGTCCGGGCTGATATAATACAAACGTTTTCAGGATATTCACAATGTCAACATAGACTTAGCTACTAATTGAATATAAATTCAATTCCACCAATAGACCAGATTTTTAAAGCGAGTCTACAGATAGTTCCTGATTTTAACAATGTTTACCTCCCTTGCAACAACCGGCAACTTTCTGTTAAAAGGGGCATAACTCGGAAAAATAATTCCATCTAATAATACTTATTTTCCGACACTATTGCGTTTAATTTTAAAATAAATTGGCATCAGCGGATTGTAAATTTTTTCCTTTAAGTGATACTTGACCAAATTGTGATGTTGACCTTGTACTCTTATTTAATGTGTTGTTATTTTAAGTGGATAGAATTTCTTATTTTCAAATGTTTGTCCAATCGGAGAGAGCGGCATATAACTTCCTTGATTTTGACTTTTTTCTTTTGTTTTCCTTTACAATCTAATACCAATATTTTTTGTAATGTCAAAAATAAGGTTTAAAATTTGTCCATGAAAACACGAAGGTGGGCCAGGTGGTCCTGTGGTTACGGGGTCTGTCTCTAAACCAAAGGGGTTCAATTCCGAATATGATAACGTCAATATTTAAACAAATGACACTAGAACTACACACTAGAGAGTGCATAAAATAAAATAAAAAGTCTTCATTACACATTCAGCTAAAATAAATATATTTGGACTAAGTACTGAGTGCATTTGTTGTTGTTTTTTTTGTTGTTGTTATTGTTTTTTTGGGGGTTTTTTATTTTGCTATTGTTGGGTATTTGTTTGTCGTAAGACATGTATATTAAAACTTTGCAACCTTTCGTTCGTAATGCATAAGCTTTACAAACGGAGCAGTGAATCTTTCCAAAATCCCCAATCGTGGCAACACATGATGGAAAGTTTATTAAAAAAAACAATTAAGATCTATACATGTATAAAGAATGCTTGCGTTTTGCTTTGAACGGTGTTTGAGTGCTTTAATTTTTCTGTAAAGCTAAAGCAAGACTGACACTCTAATTACCTATTTTGTATATCAAAATAACCGGTTTCAATAGTTTAACTATAAGTGTACATTAATATACATTTAATGTTTTCTTTTTCTTTTATTATGTCAAAAGGGCATTACGAATACCTACCTCCCTTATAGCATAGTTTACTTACACACTAGATATCATACTGTATAATTATGATCGTTTTATTGGACATTTTTGTGAGTTCTTGGACCGCACTATGAATTGAGTCCATGAGTAACAAATCTGACTAAAGATCATATCTTCATTTTCGGACGAAGTCCGCCTGAAAACGGTTTAACTTCCCGTAAAATTCACAGAGAAGAACTGAATATAAGAAGGATTTTCATTGGTCAATTTAAAATTGCTCTCTGAAATCAGTGAATCTGAATATTAATGAAGCATATATTAATCTGTACAGGGATACGTAAGTGTAAAATATGACAGCTTCAATTAGAAACATATTTTGCAGTGTTTCCTATATCTAACCATTAGATTCTACGACAAAATTCTGAAATAACGTATGCAAGTAAAAGCAGTTTTAAAAGATCCTTCTGAAGCTGGTTTTAACCAGATTAGAGTATCATCTATCAGGAACCGATTCAGATATTGGACTATAAAAGGACATAGTTTCCCAATCAATGTAAAAACTGACTTCCATGGCACGGTATTTGCTGTGTATTATAGAGCCCGCCGTATCTCTAACAACAATTTTTAATTCAATAAAAACAGGCATCGATTATCAATGATCCTCGTGCAAGAATTAATTATAGTTGACTTTGTGGACATGTATGTGATTTATGGTACAAACAAACTGACATTGATTTTAGTTACTCTTTCATATGATATGAATTGTCAACATCTATTGAATTATGGACATCTTTTGAAATATCGTTGAACATGAACATTTACTTCGTTTATCGTTTTACTCTACAGTATTAAACTTTCCGCTATTTTTGAGCGATTGGAAAAGTTGAAAAGCAGATTGTACGGCCCTTAAAACGTTTATTCAATAGATTTTTGTAACACTTCGTGTGATTATTTTTATTTAGCTATATATCACTTTTTTCCCTCTTTGTATATTTTCTATCATTTCGCTCGCCGACAGGTGGTATTGAAAAGGTGTCGTCTGTGCGGATTCAGATCTTATAGTCAATCTGTCCAATTTTGTTTAAACACGCCAAGAATGGTATTGAAGCTCACAACATTTCATCAAAATCCAAGGATCAATTTTAGAGTTATCGCCCTTGTAACTATGACGCTAAGATTAGATTTAATCACATTGAATTCGATCACATACATCTATAATTCAGAAGACGTACATGATATCTTTGACGAACATAACAATATAAATTCAAAGTGGTTCCTATTACATAGAGTTGAATTAAGCTTAGTTGTTATAATCACTATATTGTACATGTAATTTGGTGCAGAGGAAAGCTGATTTTCCGTCACAAATTTTGTTATGGTGACCATCAGCAGCAAACACCTATACGGAATTTAACGAAGTTTGCCGAATATTCACGGGCTGATGCGTACAGGACTATTGCGCTTCAAAGGAAAAGGTCAATTTTTTCCACAAATACAAATATGTAATTTTTTTTTCAACTTTATATTTAAATCGCTGTATAAAACATAAAATATTGTAACAAATGTGTTACAAAAACAATCATCATAAAATTAAATGCAGTTATCAATGTAAAAATAGATAAATTAATAAATAATTTACAAATACTTGTACGGCCTTGCATTACCCTCTTTTTGTTTATAGTTTATTTAAGGACAAACGTTTTCAGCTCAAGGGGATTAAACATAAAATCACCATTATATTTATTGCTGTTTTGAAACATGTTATGCAACGTTCTAGAACAGTTTCTAAAAATAGATGTTGGTTTAAATTCCATACTTTTTATGTCGCTTACAACATCCCGTCGTAGCAAAGACAACGACAGTCCTTCCAATGTATGGTCATCCCCTATTAAACACTTTAGTTTAAAGCTAAAAACCCTTTTTAAATTTGGGAAATTTTCATTTTTCAAATAAAAATCGAGTTTTTTTACATTTGAAATTTTTCTTTTGAAAAAAACCACGTGGCCCGGGGTTGAACAAAATTTTCGTTTTTTTAAAACAGAATCTACGTTGGGTTTTAGCATTTCGGGACCTTCCCCTCGTTTTTGGGGGTAAAGATCCTTCTAGCTGGAAGAAAAATTGTGTAGATGTTGGTAGATTATCTTTTGTATCCCCTTTAAATCTCCGGACAGTTCCGTCGTTCTCCCTCGTGACGACACGGTCCACCATGATATCCAAAGAGCCTGACTCACGGCTAACAGCCGCATTTGGCTGTACGGAATGCACGGTGAGTCTTTTAGATTTATCTTGTATAACTGCCGTCGAGGTCACGGGATAAACGTTTGATCCGAAAGACAGGTGACTCCTATAAGTCCGTTTCATGAGTTGGAGACCATTTGAATCGGTGTAATAAGTTCTTCCATTTTGAATATTGGTTTTAACTCTAAAGGCAAACTGTCCTTCAAAATTGTTTGATGCACTTTTTGATAAATTGTCATGTATATTCATTTGCAAACGGCGTCCGTTCAGACCACTGACTTTTTGAAGGACGTATTTCAATTTTATATAACCGAAGAAAAATTCTATAGAGCAATGTGTTTTTCCATTGAAAATACGATGTCGGGAATAATCCTTTATTACTTTATACTTTTTCGAATCTGGGAATGTGTATGCGTCACTTATGGGAGTATAATGCAGAAGATCTATTTGAAAGTCAGTACAGATATTCCCGTTGTTAGAGCATAATGAAAGAGGTGTACCTTCTGCCAATGAAAAGGTCAATTTCATGTCTGCGTTTTCACAAAGAAAATAGTTCCCCGTTTTCTCTGGAATCAGTGTGGATTTGAATGGCATGACTGAATTTGTAACAATATTAAAAATTGATATGCTGACTGGTGGTAGGTCTGCAATGAAACTGAGTGTCCCTGTATCTTTTGATACTTCAATGTCAAACTCAACAACTGAATTATTTGGGCCCGTGACTATGACGTTGTTCTTTGATTTTAATACAACGTTAATAAGATCAGTTCTCTTTCGCGTGTAGGAATTGAAAACTATAATTTGTGTTGGTGATGCCTTTACTTCGATTACCGCCTGCTTTGTTAATTGTTCCACTTCGACCCTTGTAACTGTAGAATTAATGGTCATTTCTCCTTTGCAAGCCAAAGCAGTATTATCCGATTGCTTTTGCATGGCTATTTTTAGAATATATGACATCACTTCCTGTGAATATACGAGAGCAGACGACAATCTCTTTTTATAATCTTTCACTGCTACCTCCTCAGCTGTTCCGGTGATGGCATCGTGATGTTGAAATATATACATTTGTTCTCTAGAATAAACTAATTTTGATAAAATATGCCCAGGCAATTTTTTCTTAAACTCCGTATCATCGTTAAACAAAAATGACATTAAAAGATCTGTCGCGCGCACGGATTCTTGTAGTTCCCGCCCTAAGCGTTTCATGAATTGGCGAGTGGTGAAATACCCACTCCAATATTTTGGTCCTCTAGTGTACGGTAAATAATCCCCTGCACCTAATGGGTATTTGATTTTATGTTTCTGTGTATTCCTCATGACTTCTTCATAATATTCATACACCGTCCCAAACTTCATTTTCACATTAAACGGCTCATGTGAGTTTATATACTCCATTATTATTTTCAAATTTCTGTATTCATTCTCCCACTCAGGTTCAGTGTGGTACAAAATATCGTTGCCAAGGGGCAATAAGATGACGTTATGCAAATAACCGTCGGATTTAATTCTCATCTGCGTCACCAGATGTTTTGCGAATTGATGAATGCTCCAAAATGGCATACCGTTCAGAAATTTGGGGAGATTGAAGGAAATTTCGCCCGGACGCGGCAATTTGAAAGTTCTCAAGTCCAGTCCAAAGCAAACCATCTTCGATGGACCGCAGCTTCCTTTGAAAGAAAGATCGTCGAAAGGTTCAATCTGTAAATAAATAAAACAAATATAAATTATGTCAAGTGATAAATTCAATAATCATAGAACATAATAACTTGTGAGCAGTATTAGTAACACAGTACTTTGTATACTGTAAGAAAAATTGAAAATAAATGACCAGAAGCAAAAAGGGTTCATGTAATTTGATTTAGAAAATATGTTAAAACTGATGCACACTGGGCAACAGTGGAGAGTTTCAATTTCAGAATGGCATTGCTTATTTATTTATTTATTTATTATTCATGCTAAATGTTATTGTATATACATTATGTCTGTACTGCGTTTTAGTTAATACACCTTTATTCTAGTACACATTAAATTTATTCCCCAGAACTATATATTTATTCCCCAGAACTATATACTTATTCAACCAATACGTTATATAGTGGTCATAGTATGTTTTAAATAAGTAAATTAATTTACTCGTTTCGAAGCCACTTGTGTATCTTTTGCAAATGCATGTGTTATTCGGATCTAAACATATTGTCATTGATTTTGGTTTGAGTGTACACACAATAAAGTGTACAGGCATTTATATAGCTATTCATTTAAACTTGTATATCAAACAATCTTAGTAAGTAATTGATATGGCAATATGGCAATTATTGACTTAAGGTGGTTCCTCAAAGATATTAATTGGTGTTTTTTGAAAATGTAAACTAAATTTTAGGGTAAAAAAGTGGATTTATACATGTGGTGTTCTATATCATTTGTTTATTTGTGCATTAGGATACAATAATTAAAGCTTAAGAATGCTTGAGTATGGTAAATAATAATTCATGCCATCAAATGTATGTTCTATAAGGAATCGTATATGGCATTAGAAAATGATTATGTTCAGACAGGTTCTAGCAAGGTTCGCCCGGCTCACCCATCGTCTTTATAGCCTCGGCGTACCTTAAGTGGCCCGTGTATATGGTAAATGACCTCTGGGTAGCTGTTTTGTGAAGATTTTGTGAAAATATGCTAAGCCAGTAATAAAATATACACTTATAAATGGTTAACTTTATTCTATACGGTTACTCTGTACTGCTTTATTTGTTCACTCAAGACATGTTTGCACAAGGTTTTTAGAGCTATAATGCGCGTACTTAAAATGATTTGTAATTTGATACTGTTTTGTTTACCTTGGTTAATCATAACAGTTGTTCCGTTCTGTTATTAAGACTACTTGCTACGTGTTTGAATTGATTTTCGAATGTGTTTTTCATTAAACATATTGATAAAACTTGCTTATGTGTAGAAGTAAAATTGTTTAATACTGATTTTTTTCTGCCTTTAGTCTACAAGTTCTTTACTTTAGTCTACAGCATTTATGAAGATTTTTTTTTACAAAATTAAAAAAGGTCCGTACGGGCGATTCTATTTCCTCTTTCTTCATTTTTAACATGTCCATATTTTGTTGTAGTTTTATTTCAAATTCCTTAAGTGAGATACTCTACATGTATATGGACGATAGGACACGGGATGAGCAACAATCTCTGATTTGTAAACAGGAAGCTTAAGTTAATATTATACAGTTAGGTTTAATATTTCTAAAGTACCAAAAAAGTTACATGTCCGCTCGCGCAAAATATATAACATATTCAATTTATTGGTTTATTTCTGTTTAAAGCAGCAATCCTCCATATTAATGCTAATTTGCATGAAATTTTGAAAATAAATTGAAAAGTTAAATATTGTGAAATGTACAATGAAAGTAATTTGCACGTAGCAAACAAAATCAGTCATAAATCGCATTATAACATGCATGCATATTATTACATGTATTATTATTTGAATCTAGAATCGTTTTAACTTTACTCAAAATCTTTAAAGCAAATATTTTTCGAAAGTTTGATTTTCCTGACATATTTTGGTGCAGCTTTAAACATCATATCATCCAGGAGAGTCAAAATATCAGTTTATGATACCTTTAAGTACCTTTTAAGGTTTGATAGATTATATGCAATGACGGTTATTGTTCTTTAACAGTCGTTAAGCAATTCAGGCAAAATGGACTAGGGTAATAAATAAGATTTCTACTCGGGGTGTTGTAAATGTCGTTCTACTTTATATGAGCGTAAATTTTAATGATTTACTGTATTGTTTTACAGCTTTAAGAGATTATCGATTATTTGTCATTGTAAATGTTTAAGAGAAAACTTTATCGTTAACATTTTATTGTATAGGTATTTTTCATAATAAAATGAACATTTGAAAAGATTTTAGAAAAATGTCACTTAAAATAGCGGTGCATTTACAAGTTTTTCAAGCGCAAAATCTATTAATCTATTTTTTTTCCTAAATCCTAAAAGTCCTATATCATGTGAAATTTTAATCATTGAAGGCAAAAGTTGATCGGATAGATTATTGATTTCTATATGTTTATCAATTAATTCAGGAATGATATTCTGAATGTATAAATTTACATATTTCCTCTCTAAAGTTGAGTTGAATCTTAACTCTTCGCCTTAACTAGATTTTTGTAGTAGATAACTTATCTAGTTATGAATAATTTGAATAAATATTCAACAGGATTTTAAATTTGATATTTTAAAATCAAGACGTCACCAGTATAGAGTTTAGTTAGACTCTATAGTGGATATTACATAAACATATGTTCGCCAACTGGCCGTAAAACCAACACCAAGACAATAATTGCAAATTTCCGTTAATTGATTTATACAAATTGAGAATAAAAGCTTATTGTACTTAAGCAAATAAACGCGTTTTTATTATGGCGACCTTCCTTTTCGCAAAAAGTCATTCAGTTCTTTTATTCTCATTTTCAATACTTTTATGGGCTTGTTAACAAAAGGGTGGTCGTCAAATGCCGTATTTTGAACCGAAAATGTAATGACGCATAACTGACTAAATCGTGTAAATTAAGTTGAAATGCATTTAAAACTATATTTTTATAGTAACTAACAAGTTGTGGCGATGAACGCGGATGAAATTTCATCGATTTTCATGTATATCTACATATGTCTATTTTTAAAAAAGCAATGTGGTATTGAATTTCTCAATTTGCATTTATGAAGTTACTGGGCCGTCCAATGTAACCATACACTCTGAATGGTGGCTTTATTGAAAAGACCCATGTGTAGGATCGCGAAGTATCAAAAGATAAATTTTGTATAAATGCCGTTTAAAGAATAGGGTTAAAATATATCATGTAGAATAGGGTTAAAATATATCATTTCAACACTGAATTGATAGTTTGTGGTATTTCTTTTCTAATTTCGTTATTTCGCAACTTTTAAAATTGATCGAAAAAATGATTTTAAAGCATTGATGAGTGTTGGTTATACAAGCATAAAAGTTGATTAAAATGATTGAATCCTTTGATACTAAGAGTGCTAAGTCACTTGGCTGAGTCCTAGGAAATGGAGGTTTGATCCTCGTGGGAGCAACAATGAGAAATTTTGCCTTGTGTCAGAGGGTAATGGTATTATTTAAAGCCAATTCAGTTAACCTATAAGAAGTACTTGTGAGTCACGTGAATATTAAAGAACTACTGGGCTGAAAAAACAACAACACATGTTCGTTTAATAAAGACACACAGATCAGTTTCTGGCACATTAGAATCTTTCTTATTAAACAACTATTCAAGCACATCGTCACTAAAGTTTCTAATCAATTTAAATACTAGACAATATATCAAAAGGTGTATTAAACTAACGTTTTAAAGGATGACTTACATGTATAAATGTGTCATCTTTCCCGGTTTCGTCGGAGAGCTGTCGATTGGTAAATTCCAACAACCTGTGTTTTCTAAAATATTTCTTTGTACCCTTATGTAAATGATTCACAAACGAGATTTTAACCCCAGCAAGGCTTCTAAGGTAATTCACCGAGGCCGAGGCACCAAATTGGTCCATGTTGAAAGACACGTTGGGAAAGACTCCCAAATGTTCCCTTATCCAATAATATCCTTCAATCAACTGGTCTACATACGCGTAATAATGCGAGATGCATTCGTCGGCGGACACCCATGCTCCGAGAGCAATTTCGAACCTTCCGGATTGCACGAGCTTCCGGAGGTCGTTTCTGGTTTTATTATTCTGCTCCCTCCACCATCGTTCAAGAAAACATGTGTCAGTCCATATAAATGTCAAATCTTCATATTTAGTTAACTTCTCAACAGCTAAAGACAGTACCTGCTTTGCTCTTATGTTATAATAATCTTCCATCGGGTGCCGGTATCCCGGGTCATTAGGGGAGTGCTTTAAAAACAATCATTTTAATTCCCTTTTATAATTCCCGGAAAATTTGCCTGTTTGGATCAGCACAGATGGCCCCGGCGGGCCCGTGGGAAAATCCCCACGCCCCGGAAAATGTCTAAAATTTCATTTTTTGGGTTCCGGCAATTTCCCCCTTCGGTACCCGGACTAACTGTTTGAAAAGGAATATTAATTGATTTAAAATAACTTTTTCATGTAATCGACTACTGTATAAAATTACAAAACAGTAAAAATTCCAAAAAAAATTAAAAAGCACTTTTACCCTCCGCCCAATACACGATCATTTGGGTGAAATACGAAGTAATTTACGGGGACAGACCATTTTCGATCGACATGAACGCTTATAACCAGTGACAAGCCTACCTGGTAATACGAGATTCGACTTAACATCGATTGCAAGTCCCCTCATATCAAATTAGGCCGTTTCGTATTTAAAAAAAAAGAACTCCCGCATAACAAATCAAGTAATATCGTGATAAAGTGTAATCTATAGGTAAAAATAGAGAATGATATTAATTTCAGTGTACGTGTAATAGTTTAGAATATGCAATGGTAAACAAACATAAACTTAAAATTACATGAATTATTATTTTGCTCTTTCATTTCGAATGTCAGTTTTTTTTATGTTTAATAAATGCTTGAATTTGAATAATGTAGGTCTTTTTTTATAGAATGTAATAAAGCTTCCGTTGATTTTATGTTAATGACTAAGCGAAGCGATTACCACGTACCGTATATCGAATGTTATTTTGTAAGAACTAACGTTCGAGGATTGATTATTTATTGAAAACTATGACAGCACTGTAATGAAAGCTTCGTATAAATGACTAAATCAATCTTGTTATTCCTGTTATTTATTATGCACAAGTCAGTAACAAGAAGTTTGTAAAAACAGTATAATCCAAGTTATTTTAAACGATTCAAAAGTATTAGATATGGGAAAGATCACATACTGTCCATCAGTATTTTCATGGCGACTGAGCATGCCATTCAATTAATAGAAAAAATTATTACTGTAAACTCATTTAATTTCGTATATGCCATATTTTAAAGACACATTATGCCTTAGAAACAAATAAAATTTTGCTTTTTTAGTAAGGTATAATATGAATTCTATGTTTGAATAATAGTTTTAGATAATGTAATATGCTTTTTAGATGAAGAAAGTAACGATAAATGTGAAATAATTTGTCATGAAAGTAGCAAAATGTAAAGAAAGTAGTATTTTGACTGCCATTCAAAATACTCATTCACTATAACTGTACTTATTGCCAAAAAGGAACAGAAAAAAAGATGGTTCAGGTAAGTGGCAAATGAGTAGTGTTTTGCGATAGCGATACTACACCAAAATTAAAAATATTTTGAGAAATAAAATTAAAAACATATCTGAAGCATTATGGGCCCTTAACAGGTTAATTTTTTTTTTTTTGCCTTTGAGTCTTAATTTATGAATAAAGTATGCGTTTAAGTAATATAACGAAAAAGATTATTTTTTTATGGAGCTGATTTTATTTCATCGAATAAAACGGCAACAAAAAGTTTGTTAAAAATTACCCGCAAATTCTTAAGATTCAGCAGCATTTATTTATTTTTTACCGATTTTTTTCCTACTGAATGATGTGAATATTTTCAGCGTGAATCCAAAAGTGAAATACAATGTACCGATTTATGTGGTTTTGTACACGAGGAAGGGTTTAACAAGTTAACGCAATAAAAGGACGGACACGATTCATATTCATACTAAAATAATTTTTACATCGCATTTATGCGGCAAACTGGACAATTATTCACATTTTTAAAGGAATCAACTGAGGTTTTTTTTACTTAAAGGGATCGAAACTAATATTCAAGATTTTTACATAACTGGACGTATGTCTGGACCAATAACTCGTGTACAAAATTTTCAAATCATTCGCTCAATTTCCCAGAAATAATCATTTTTGTTGTGCAAATTGACCCGAAAAATAAAAACAATTGCAACGCTTTGCACGCAAATCGGCCAGAAAATGCATAAAATTGATTATTAATTTCATATCGAGTTTTTTTTATATATAATTTATTGCTTAGTTTTCAATTTTAAGTGTACCAGTTGATTTTAGAAAGAATTTTAAATTTTATTATTTTAGGCTATGGGACATCAGTGTAGTTCCTTTAAGCATATATTATTTGGGCACTGACAAACCGTATTCTGTTTTCTTACCTTTTTTTTCAAAAATTTCCTTTTAAAAAAGGGGTTTTTTTATTAAAATTTGGGTTTCATTTTTTCCAAAAATTTACCCAAAGTTTTTTTTAAAGATTTTGATGATTTAATTTGATCGGCAAAAATGAAAACCCCGGGGGGTAAAAGGAACCTTATAAATTAGTAAATTAGTATCCCCTGTAAAAAATTCCGGTGATTTTTTTTCATTTCCGCGGCGTTGCAAGCTTTAAAAGTGTAAAAGTTTGAATAGTTGCATTTTTTTAAAGAGAGTGTTAATATTTACAAAAAGGAAAAATACAAGTGGGGGGAAAAGCTTTTTGGGGGTTTTCCCTAATAAAAAAGCAGTTTTTGTTGATAAAATGGGTTGAAAATCTATAATTTACATGTTATTTGGGGGTATTCAATATGATTATAAATAGTCTGAAACGAAAAGGGGAAAAGTCCATGTTTTCTAAAATTGAAATGAAACCCCATAAAAACAAAATATCAGAGATGAACAAAAGGGTTTTGGGTGCCATTATGAAAAAAATCTATTTTTTATGTTTGAAAAAACAACTCCATACGCCCCTTTAAAATAGATTTTCCATAATGTTTTCAAATTTTCAAATTTTTGGAAACAAAGATGGAGAATGCCAAGAAAAAAACCGGCGGAAAATGCTGAGGTGGCGTTTTTACGGCCCACTTGATTTAAAATTTTTTTTTTTTCATAAACTTTTGCTTTTATGTTTTTTCAAAAAGGGGGAGGCCAATTGGAAAGTTAAAAACAAAAAGAAAATTTGCCTTTTTAAGACAATTTTATCCATGATAAAATTTTTTTAATTTTAAAAATAAAAAGGGAAATTTTAAAATTTTTTTTTAAAAAAAAAATAAAAATTCAAAAAAAAAATTTGATAAGTGTTTTAAAGGTATGCTTTTTTTTAATTAAAATGTACAGCAGTCTTTTTAGACCCTTTATATTGGATTTGGGAAAAATAGTTTTAAACTTTTTTGGGTTTTTATTTCTAAAATAATCATGTGATTAACTAATAACTGTTTTAAGGAGTAAAATGCATTTTTGCTTCCCAGGTATACATTGAAATTATTCATACAAGAAAAAAGTCGGATAATAATTTTAATGAGGCAGGTTAGTTTGTTACGCGATTGTTGAAAATTTTTTTGTTATTTTTTATTCGCGCATTGCGTCCGAACGCATTATTTTAAAATTTTAAAAAAATTTAGTCAAAAAAAACAATTAATTGCAAACCGTTATATATGAAAAATGTTTAAAATTTAAAATAACGCCAGTTTGCATGTTTAAACATTTTTTTTTATAACGGGTAAATAATTACAATTTCTTAAATCAGCTCTATTTCTGAAACATATTTTTCTATCTCTCTTTCTTAATTGTAAACACAGGTTTGTCTGTATTTGATATATTCTCTACATCATGTCCAGATTTCATTGTCCAATTCAAACCAGACTTCGCAAGATCGTGTTAAGCCTTTTCCCAAATATAGTCTTTTACACTTTCTATTGAAAAAAAAAGAAAGTTTTGCTTCAGTGCTTTTAAAATGTCGTCAGATCATTGTGTGGTAAAATTTCACTACCGTCGTGCTTTTACGCAAATATTGACACAAATCTTGAACTGCAAGTATTTTCGTTCTTAAACTTGTCTATATATATCGTATTACTTCAATATTGACGTTGTTATTACTTCTGTGCAATAAACCGTTCACATTGAAATGTATGACGTACACAATACACGGTGTATATCCATATCGGTACCCTCTTTGCGAAATCTGCTAAAACGGTACCCTCTTTGAACATGCACAGGTCATTCTCTGCTAAAAACAAACAAGCGATGGATAACACTACAGTAAAATTTCATTGTAATAAGGAAAGGAGGTATGGCAGTAGAAAAGATGTATACCACGGAACACTAGAATGTTTTATTTATGTGCTGATTTGTCTTGTGCCCGATTTTCATGTACTGCAACTTCACAATAAGCTACAAAAAATCGACAAGTCTTGCTTCGTCAATCACCTCGACATACTTTTCGGGCTGAAATGAACCTGTGGCTTGATTATATATGCATCATATATATTTAATATGTCCATAAACATATCATCTTCGGACAATGGCAGTATATTGTCAAAAATAAATGTAAAATTATAATTTTGCAGCGGCACGGGCTACCTCTCTTCTTTTGAATTTTTATATCACAGGTACCCTCTCATTTTTGAACACATAGGTACCCTCGAAGCACGACATATGCTTTTATTTGCGTTAATCGTTAAGTATATATGTAATATTTCTTACTTTTATGTAAGTTTTATGCATATATAATCAAGCCACAGGTTCATTTCAGCCCGAAAAATATGTCGAGTTGATGGGCGAAGCAAGACAAGTCGATTTTTTGTAGCTTATTGTGAAGTTGCAGTACATGAAAATCGGGCACATGACAAATCAGCACATAAATAAAACATTCTAGTGTTCCGTGATATACATCTTTTCTACGTGTCATACCTCCTTTCCTTATTACAATGAAATTTTACTGTATTGTTATCCATCGCTGGTTTGTTTTTAGCAGAGAATGACCTGTGCATGTTCAAAGAGGGTACCGTTTGAGCAGATTTCGCAAAGAGGGTACCGATATGGATATGCACCGTGCAATATGAAGCTTGAACACGTTGTCGTCTGCGTCACGCTTTTGGGTCATGAGATTAATTACAGATAAAGTATCAATCGTAACGCGCAATAAGCAATCTCTTTACATGCTATCAAAGAAAACGAAAGTTACTACGCCATAACTTACATCATATTTCTTAAAAGTGTGCTTATCTTATCTTATTTTCTTATCCTATGTTATTTTCTTATCTTATCTTCTTATCCTATCCTATCTTATCTTATCTTCTTATCCTATTCTATCCTATCTTATTTTCTTATCTTATCTTCTTCTCTTAACTTTTCTAGGGTCGAAAAGTCATGTAAGGTTCAGAATTTCCTATCTCCATTTAGTATAACTATTCAGTTAACTTGCAAAAGATATGGGGTTCAGCCCAGGTCCCGCCCGTACGAAAAGGCACATGGGGTCTTTTTCTAACCACTAAAACAAAACCGGACAGTTTCCTTATCACCTTACCGCATTCAGTGTGACTGAAAACGCAGAAAAATCCAAAATAAACCGATGCATTGTAAATTAGAAAAGGAATATTGTTATTCTAGACATGATTTCTAAAGTTAGATTTTATACATGTATAAGGACAATATCTCGAATAATCACCCATGTTTTACTGTTTCTTTTCAGAAGGATTTTCAAACACAAGATGTTATTTGGAATATGTAATCCCATTGCTTTAGTGTCTATTTCGCCGTCAATAAATTCTGCCATTGTAATAAAGTTACCACACTTTCCTGGTATATAGGCGACTGTCGTCTGCTTCACGGACACTGCTAGTGTACTTTGAGCCAAAGAGTCCTGTTTACGTTTAGCATCACCTGTAGATATTATAATTCTCGAAAAATTATGTGGTTTTTCAAAATGAAGAGTAAAATAGTCAAGTTTTTGCGGACGTTTCGCCCAATAAAACGTTGACGAGTTATTATCGTAGGCATAAAAAGGGGGATAACCAGGCACTGATTCAAAAGAAGTTTCAAATATTGCCGGAGGATTATCTCCCTTTGGCAAAGTCATTATTGGCAATTTTATTTTATCTGCATCCTTAAATTTTGAATCGATTGAAGGCATCATTTTATTTTTCAAAGACGAGAATTTCCCATTGTGCTGGAACAGACTAAATTCTGTATGAATCGGAGATTTTTGACCGTGTAATGCTCGTATTTTACCGAGAAATAAATCGCCTGGTGCTTTCGCGAAATTTTTCAGCAAATAATTCCCCACCCACTGTAAGTCCCTGTCTTTGAATAATTTACCAATAAAACCAAGTCTTGAAAATTCTAACATAAACCACTGCTTTGTATTATTTACGTGTCTAATTTGTTTACGAATGTAAACAGAATAATTTTGAGCACTTAAAACATCGTCTTCTAGTTGTAAATAATAGTCAGAAATATTTTTACAATACAAGAACAGATAGCCAAAATCTATATTCTGCTTTGATCTCCAATGCACCCGGTGAACAGGATCATGTAAAGTTAGTTTTAATTGCTCAAAATTAGGATATATTGTTTTTGGCGCCTGAATGATTCTGATGAATCCGCCTTGAAAATAGTTCCGAAATTTGACGAAAATATCTTTCGAAATTTCATTATTGTACGTCTCGTTCAAATCAGATAATAAGATCACAAGAGTGATGTCCATTTTCTCCTCTTCACTAGTGTTGTTGATTAAAGATTCGATTGTCTTGTAGAGGTATATATTTTCTGTGTTTGGTCTACGAATAGATGGAATTCCTATAGTCAGGAAACCTGCAATAAAATCAACATAAAATTTCTAAACATGACTTTGTATTTTTCTTCAAAGTAGTTTTGTGAAAGTGAAAATAGTATGTCAGATTCGCTGTGACCAGTTGACCCACTCGAAAAAAAAGTATTTTGCAATATTTTGTCACAATGAATTTGAACACTTTGTTCAGTTTTGTAATTCTATATAAAGTTTTGTAGACAGGGATTGAAATTGTTTTTTATCACATCTAAAGAGCAGTCAGTATTTAGTTTGACCAGATCACTCAGCTGGCTGCAAGACATGTAACTCTTTACTAGTATAAACAATTAGTACTGAATAAAAAAGACAATTAAAGATTTTAGCTCACCAAAACAAGACATTGTCATTTTCTATATAAACATTGAAAATCTTCTTGTTAAAAAAATGTGGGTCTGATTTTTTTATATAATTTCATAAAACAAAGATTCTAACAATACTTTTTACCAAAACTGGTGTCATGATTGGTCAATTAATTTTGATTTGTCAAAATTTACGGCTGCTAGAAACGATGTCTTCTTTCCGCCGTAACATGTAATTATGCGAGCAATTTAGGGCCATCGTGTCTTTCTTGTTTATTTTAAGAACATAATGACCGTCTATATGCAGTCTTTATCCATAGGTTTCTTTAAGAAAGGTTTAACTGTATTTTCTATAGAAGAAAACGTGCCTTTCATAGAAACTCCAATGCCTTATTTCCTAATCGATTTGGCAGTTTAGATGAAATTTCCATTTGCTGTTGAATACAGCTGTCTATCAATCTATTAATTAAAAACAAATGACAAATGGCTGAATTGTCGGAGAAAACTCAAACCGAATATCTACAAGACCGTTCATTATATTGTCATATGTAAATTTGCTTCTTTCATGAAAATATTTGGCGTCTTAGATAGTCCTGGTGGCTGGGAACAAGATTACATGTATCTGAATTAACAAAAGAACTTGCAGCAGATATGAGTTCCGTTAAAATGATATGATCATGGACTGTTCCAAATTCAAAGTATGGAAAGCCTATTACGTAAAAAAAAATGTAAACAGTGTTGATTAAAAATCTTATAAACACTAATATAAACCTTTTCTGCTTCGAAGTTGGCCATACAGCAATGGGTCATGCATTGGTGGAATAAACTGACGTATGGAATAACCTATCGGTGGCAAGGCGTCGAATGTGTCAACTTTATGTTCTGTTGTTGCCATGGTAACTGACTGCATCATGTTGTCCTTGTCCCCAAACTGTGTATTATTCTGCCGGATGTAAGTATTAGCCATATCCTGAAAAATGTATTTTAGATTTCATTCACGTCCAAACAATGTAAAAAACTATTACAATATAACAATATGATAATATAAGAATTATGGTGTTCCGTTTTGGCCATCGTGAAATCGTATTTTTGGCCAAATCAATGTGAAGACGAAAGTTTAAGATAAGATCATTCAATAAGAATGAATCCACAATGGAAAAAAACACAAACAAACAAAAACAAACTTTTTCTCATTAGATTTTCGCATCTTCTCATCGTGCATTCCAGCGTTTGTATCCTATATTAATGTTTTAGCATCAGCTTTTCGTACATTTAGCCATTCCACATGACTATATAACGATACTTTGAGACTACAATGATCTTTATCTCAAAACTTTACACCTAAGATCATTGCAGACCAAGATCAGCCGATGCATTCGTACCGTCTGAATAGGGTCTGCTCTGTTCACTATTAAGTCAGTATATATTTTGAAAGTTTCCCTAATTACCAAGGAATGGTTTTATACAAACTGAAAGGTTGACTAGCCTAATTATGATAGTTTGCGTGGTAAGGATTTATTAGTTTAACCTTAAATGCCACACGTGACCTAAATAATTTCAACCAGAGCCGAATTACGTGTTTTGTTTGCAGTGTCATGCAAGTTTCTACTTAATACATAATCTAATGTCAAAGTTAACTGCGGATTACTTGCTGGCCGATAAATTATATGAATAATTTAAAAACCGGACAAGACTGATAAATAATTCTGACAGATAAACACGGAAAGCACTTTAAGGTAAGTAAAAGTCACGCCATTTTATATTCAGAGTATTGAACGAGCTGTCTAACGATTGAGTACTTTAAGAGTTTTCGTTAGTGTGGTAGACCAATTCAGAGTAAGTTAAAGTACGGCGTCTCTGTCGTGCCGTTTATAGCGTTTTCCGTCGCTTTATCTGGTCGGCACACAACAATACCACTGTCGTTTAGTTATGTCGCGTTCAAAGCACGACATTATTCAAATGTCACTTCGCATCGTCGGGTGTTGCTGCGATTCGTCGAAAGTCGTATCGCATTGTGACGAAGTAGCTTCGCATTGTCTTAGACAATGTGTAGACCCTTAAATACGACGGACGACATTATAAACGGCACAATAAGGATACCGTAATTATATGATATTTTATTTGTATTAGAATGTTACTACTTACATATTTTTTGTCTTTGCTTAACATCATTGAATGATCCGGAACATCTTCCTTTGATAACGGATTTTCTGTAAGAGATAAATTAAGATATACAAGTATAAATAATAAAAAATAAAAGTGTATTATTATTTCAACTCAGTACTTATGAAAACATACACACACAAAAGCTTGTATTGGTATAGATCCAGATCTTGTATCCATTGCTTAAAGTGAACAGCTTAAAATAGTGACCAAACCTTAATTTTACTCGCCATTTCATTTATCACTAGTTAATGATCAACATTATTTTTTGTCCAATCACATTGTAGTATTTTTCAAATTTCTGCTAAGTCTAACTTTGGTTAATGTGTCTTAACTAAATAAAATTTATTTAATCTGTTGTCTAACCTGAGTCTAACAAATTTCAATAATGCATTATATTAGGGAGGAGTTAGAGGTTTGGTTTACACTCTGATTTGTAAAATATCTAAGGTTAGCAAAACAATGCCGATGTAATAATATTAAGCGAGGTCAGGTGTTCTAAATGTGAGGATACAATCAATTAATTTATTACATAGATAATAAATGTGGGGCACGCAGAGACAAATGATTACATAGTAACTTTTTTATATAAAAAATGACTGTTATAAATTGCTGACTGATTTAAACTTTATATTTTCTAGAAAAATAACAAACACATTATTTACAATCCTTGATATTAAGAATACAATGTTTACATTTTTGGCTGGAAAATAGTAGTGATAATGTTCAATTGAATCAATCCAAAACATAATAAATCCATAATATTAAAAGCATCTAAAACATTGTTTTATTGCATTAGTTGAGTTCTGTCTGTATTTTTGTTATTGCTGTTGTTTTTGGGTGTCAAATACCAATAAAATTCTCGTCTGCAAAATAATAAAAGCACCACGTGGGATAATCAAATTTGACAATAGCACACATATTATGACTTTTCGGAGACTTCTGAGGCCAATATGGAAGATCGGATAACCGCATTAAATGAAGTGATATTCCAGTCTTTTTCATTACGTGATCTTCCAAAATAAATCATTATTGGATCTTATCTTTTCAATTTAACTTAAATAGTATGTAATTATTGGTACATGTTTAAGAACGCCATGGTCGTAGACAGGACTGACTTTGAGAATTTGGCTCCCTATAAGATGCTAGAGGCATTTTGTAGTACAAGTGGTATCTTGGTGTATTTAACCTATTTAAGGTATGCTGAATCCGGTAAAAGTGGATACCAAATTGAAAAACTTGATCTTGACCATTGAAATGGCCATTTGAAATGACCACTAAAATGGGCGCCAAATTTCTTTATCATAAATGGATGATATATCAAATAAAACTTTTAAGGAAAGGAAAAGCCTGAAATTTTACACAAAGCATGTTTAGGTAAAAACAAATTAGACACCAAAACAGAATTAAAAAAACAAAACAATCCAATATGGCCGAATAATCCAAGATGGTGGACATTTATCTATAGGCCAATATAATACTATATTATAGAAGTAATATTAAAGATAGTACTGAAAATTTTAAGGCATTTAAACATAAGAGACCTGTATTTAGGGTTTACGCAAGGAACACTTCACTCTTCCCTGCCCTATCTGCTTGATATAGGGCTTTCATGTATTTTATCTGGCACTCTATGCAAGCATATAACGTGACTACTCAGATTCCTACTGCGTATGTGTGAGGAGGTTAGTGTAAGGCACCTTTTTCTGAGTACTTTTGGGTTTTGATGCTCGTTTTTTGTTATCGGTCGTCGTCTTCGTTCTTCTGGTCTCTTTTGTTGTCAGTTCACGTCTCTGTTTTCGGTCGTCTTCTTTGTTCTTCTGTTATCGGTTCTCGTCTTCGTTCTTCTGTTATCGGTCCTGGTTTCAGTTCTTCTTTTGTTGTCAGATGTTCTGTTATCGGTTCACGTCTGTGTTTTCGGTCGTCGTCTTTGTTTTTCTCCGTTCATCTGTTATCAGTTCCCAACTCTATTCTTCTGTAATCAGTCCTGGTTTCCGTTTTCTTTTTGTCAATTCTTCTGTTATTGGTCCTCGTTTCTATTTTTCTGTTATCAATCCTCTCTCCGTTGTCTTGTTGTCAGTTCTTTTATTATCGGTCCTCGTCTCTGTTCGCTTGTTGTCAGTTCTGCTGTTATCGGTCCCTGTCTCTGTTCTTCTGTTTGCTTGTTGGCAGTTCTTGTGTTCACGGTCCCTGTCTCTCTTCTGTTTTTAGTCCTCGTCTCTGTCCTTCTCTTATCGGTCCTCGTCTCCGTTTGCTTGTTGTCAGTTTTTCTGTTATCGGTCCCTATCTCTCTTCTTCTATTATTGGTCGACGTCTCTGTTCGCTTGTTGTCAGTTCTTGTCTCCGTTCTTCCTTCTCTTATCGGTCGTCGTCTTCGGTCTTGTACTTTCGGTACTTGTTTCCTGTTCCGTTAAGGTCTTCTCTTGTATACTGTGGTGGCCGTCATTCTGTGTCGATGTCCTGGTTTTATCAGTCTTGTAGTCATTTATTCGTTCAGTGGAGTAGCGGGGGATCGAACTCACGACCCCTTGATTTGTAGGCAGACAGTGCTACCACTGCACCATAGCGCCCGCTCTGAATAATAACCATTTTTGAAAGTCCTTTATACATTAAATACTATTTCAATGGCTAACAAAGGGTGTATTACAATTATATTTTAACACCTCTACTATGTAGCCAACCCACGTGACTTTTATATATGGTCAAAGTAAATATTACTCGATTTATTAACAAGTAATATTTTTATAGATAACTTTGCTGTTACTTTAAGATATCCTGGATTTATTGGAGGGTACCCGGAATTTCTAATGTATATCAAATGATGTGATAATCTTCTTGTAGAATTTTCTCAAAAACCGTGACTGAATTCCAAAATTTTCGAGAGCTGCGATGGTAAAGCAAGCACACATAGCAATCTCCCGGTTTCAGACAATTTTATGACTCGATGAAAATATGGTGTTGTTATTGTTGTGTTGTTGTTTTTAACTTTAACTTTAAATTTCAAATTAAATTAGTCACTTATTTTAAACAAGATGGTAAAACTTTGGTGTTTTCTGTAATTTTTTGTTAAGAATGTGATGAAGTATACACTTCTAAGTTTAAGATGACTTTTTATCCATCGTATACCTTAATGCAGTTATAATTGAATCTAAAAAATGAATTATGCAGACATTATTTTCAGCAGAAAACAACAAATACAAACAAAACCACACACAAAAACTTACATACATGTGTAATGTTCACAATGTGCTAAAAAACGGCTCTTTATTAATTTCAATATTTCAGCAAGTTACACATTTTATTAAATGAATGGGGACAGAAAATGTTGTTGTAACCATTTAAAAAGTAGAGGATTTGTAAAAATTTGTAAGTTGGCTATTTTTACCTAGTTTGCTCACACTCAATAAACACATTTTCTATATAAACCTGAGGTAGAAAACAACTTTCATAGATTGAGATAGAGCCATAATGTCGTAGATATTTGGGTTACAAAACAGGAGTTTTGATCCTGACAATGTTTGATAGTAGGATAAACATATTCTTAAAAATTTTGTACTGGCCTTAATTCATTTTTTTAGATACGTGCAATTATGTTATTATTATGTCTCTAGTTAATAGTTTCTAGAGAAAAGCCTTAACAAAAGGTGGTATCTTTATTTATATATAAATTTTATAAATGTGTCACATGTCGCCTTTAAAAAGATTTATGTGGTGATTTTGCGCATACTTAATCCCGCTTTTGCACGTTGGAACAACAATATTTTATTTTGTTTGTATACACAGCCTAATTGCTTATTTTGTATAGTCTTATTTATTGACCACTGTAAATTATGAATACATTACAGCACTTATTGAAATATTAGATTCCACTTCGATTTTGTTAGTAAAGTTTACGAGAATTAATGGAGGATATTTGTTTGTTTGTGTGTAAGATGAAATTTTATTTCATCGAGTGTTGCTTTAAAAAACAGTATTCAGCCACGAGTGAGAATACTGTTCTTAAAGTTCACGAGTATAGTAAACTATAAAAACTAATATTAGTTGGAAAGTCATATCTGCTAAAAAAATGTAAAACGTTATTGTTACTACCGCAGTAGCATTGCCGGTTAAGTGATTTACTGATGTGTGAGAGGTCTATGGTTCGATTCCTACTGTTTTTCCTTTTTTAAGACCTTTACTGTTTTGTTTTTTGTTGTTTTGTTTTTTTGGGGGGGGGGGGCGGCGGGGGTTGGGGGTAGGGGTGGGGGTGGGTTTGCAGTATATATTTTTAAAACACTTTTGTCTCGGTTTGTGTTGTGTTTATTGGCATTTGAAATGACATTTTTTGAACATTTCAAAAATTTAAATAAATATTAACTTTAAACCCATAAATACTTAATAAGTGCAAAAAAATGAACACAAATGAACAACTTTGAAAAAAATCATAGCTTTACAAATAATGTTGAAAATTTTACAGAAACACCTGAAGTTTGACATTTTTCCACACTTTTCTCCCCGGAATTGAAATCGTTTTTACGAAAGATAATAATTCCCAATTAGAAATATTATTCGTTTTAACGAATATTTAAAATCTTAATTTACGAAATATTGATTCCTTATTACGAAAATATTGTTTCGAAATTACGAAATTGATTAAAATAATTCGTTATTTACGAAATATTATTTCGTAGTTACGAAATATTAATTGTTATTATGAAATATTTCCATTCTTTTGTAATATTTATAAAGAAGGGATTTGAAAACTAAGTTTATTGTTTTAAAAAATTAGTCAAGTAAACAAAACATAAAAAAAATGATTTTTTTTTTCAATCTTAACCTTTTGAAGGTCAAGGTCAATTTTATTATCTTGGTATCCACCCTCATTGTCTTCAGCATACTCATATTAGGTTAAAACTCTCAAGATATTACTTGTACTATAAAATGCCTCTAGCATTAATATTTTCTTAAAATCAGTCCTGTCTATCGTGAATTATGCAATACATCCCTTAGATTTATCTCCTTCATTTCTACGTTAGGTTTACACTTCAAAACAATGTATCTTAGTCCATTATCCGGG